CCGTGGCTAAATATTTTGCTGAGGTCTTCATACAGGAATCCTTTGAGGATACTAGTCCAACAGCAGAAGCATTGACATCCAACAGAACAAACTCTGTGAATGTCGATCGTGATGATATATTTCGGATATTGAGCACTCTCGATGTAGAAAAATAGACGAAACCGGATGAGCCGCACCCAGGACTGCTCAGACAGCTTGCACTCTATGTAGCCGACCCACTGACTACCATATTCAGACTGTCTCTCAGTGAAGGCACACTCCCCTATGACTGGAAGGATGCCATAGTAACACCTTTCCACAAGGCAGGTTCTAGGCAGCTTCTACCAAATTACAGACTGATAAGTTTGACTAGTACTGCAGTAAAAATCCTAGAAAGACTAATCAAGAGAGCTGTCATATTCCACCTAGAGAGCAACAGTCCATTATCTCATTCACAGCACGGTCTTCGTGGAAATTTCTCTTGCTTGACGAAACTTCTTACAGCCAGAGAGAGTTGGGTTGTCTAAAGATGATGGGATGCCGGTAGATGTCATTTTCATCGACAAAGTGCCTCATTCCAGGTTGCTCAGAAAACTGGAAAGTTTTGGAATCACTGGCAGTCTACTCGCATGGATGAGACTTTCTTTTTGGTGGGAGACAAGGAGCTAGGATCAGTTCTCAACTCCCCACTTGGAAGCCGGTATGGAGTGGAGTGCTGCAAAGCACAGTCGTCGGCCCCTACTGTTTCTTCTATACGTAAATGAGCCGCCAAACATCACGAAATCCCCTATGGTTCTCCACGCTGATGTTGTAAAAATCTGGTGAGAAGCTAGGGACGAGGAGGATATATGTGCACTTCAGGCAGAAGTAAACAGTTTGTTTTCCTGGTCAGAGAAGAGGTTGGTGCCGATCAATGCAGGTAAATGACTTAAACCCTGATCTATCTTCTCTTTTCCTTCCCACTGGGTCGGAACAACTCAGAGAACATAGTAGGAGACTACAAAAGCAAAGAACGAACATAGTCTCAGCAGAGTGCTGGTTCTCGCGTTGAGTGGTCGACGCCTGGAACCGACTCCCAGAAGAAGTAGTGTCCACATCATCAACTGACTCGTTAAAAATGAGATTGGACAAGCACACAAATCTACCGGAAAAAGATTTATGTAGTCTCTCAGCCTCCTATCCTCAAACAACAAATCTGAATCTTCTTTTCTGTATACCACAGCTTTAGCTGGTGAGTGGTTGAATCCATTGCATCGGAATTCGCCAAAGACCTGAAACCGTTCCGCAAGACCAAAATGCGAGCAAGAAGACATCAACTGGCTTACACAAGCTCGGTAAACAGATATTGGATATTAGATATACTTCATGTTGATGTTTGCGTGCTAGGCTACGTAAAAGCTGCGGTTTTTCAAAATGTATCTCTTTTTCCATTTTGATTGGCATTCTCAGTTGTAGAATGTGGTTTTAGACGTAACTTTCCCATTAGTTATCAGATTTCACATATTTTCGGCGCATCTGATTGCTGGAGATATCAAACAGCGTATAAATAAGTGCAATTCTAGACGCGGTTCCCAGTGGAAATTTTCGTTGGACTAAATAGGGCAGTGTTGGGCCACTCACTATAGAAAACTTTGGGCCAGGTGTACGGCTAGTCGTGGGGTCTTGCATTATGCTCCCCACGTCTGGCCCTATGTCTGACTTATATGACCCTACTTCTGACCCTGAGATTTTAGAAGTAGCCAGAAGTCGAGCCCCACGTGCTGATTGTTGGCCCCATAACAATTCCCACCGGTTCTACATTTGACCCGACTATAACAGTGGCTCAACACTTGGCCACATGTGCACCACATAGTGAGTGGCCAATACTGGCCTATTTGACCCTACAATAGGTAGATCGATAGATAAAAGAAGTACATAGTAAATATGTCTTACCACATCTGTTAGCCGGAGAACCCTCTACAGGGGGGCTCATATCTGACTCCATTTTTCAGATAATATTCCCTGAATATAGTCGCTTTTCTTATGATCCCAAACACTGCTACTCCACCTCGCTTATGCGGAATGCGAGACCATAAACATATTTTGCGTGAAATATTTGAGTCCCCTATGAAGCTACCGCAAATGTAATCCATTTAATGGTACGTAAACTTTCCATTGCCAAAGTCCATCATTATACCGTTCCTGAAACTGGCATTCGGAATCCATCGTTTAAACATCCTATAAAGGTCCTCGATAAAATAAATTAATACCACATCGCAATGAATTTAAAGTCCCTAAAAAACATCCGGACCTCTCTCATTAGGATGTTTATCGTACATTAATATGCAGCTCAGTAGTAATTCGCATGGCACCACCTATGTACTTACCCTAACAACGATAGTAGTGGGTCTGACTGGTTACTAATCAGTTACTGGTTATTTGTTATCTCTGAATACGGGACTATCTTTGAAAACTTTTCAGCCCTTAGGGTGCTTTATCTGAAACAGGGGCGTAACAAATAGCACCGTTGGTGGTTTGTCTCTTGGGCCAGCCAATGCTCACAATTTGTCTTTGTGTAGTCTATCAGAAGCAGAAAACGTTCCGAAGAACCTGTTCTGGAGAAGTCAGAGGGCTGTCTCCAACCTTATTAGAACCAATTCTATCAAAAGGACATCAGCATTGACGGCACACAATGTCTCATTATTCGCAAAGATAGAAATGCTGGCTAAAATAATTAGATAATTTACAACTGATTTTCGTAACCACCCAGCACCATCTGAAGGTAGTGGGATTGATATTTAATCGTTCCTTCTATCTCATTCTCTACTATGAGAGAGCAGCTGTTTAGAATAGGTCTAACATTAACTTACTAGTAGCCTCTTAATAAGCTATATAATACCTATTGATGAGCTTTTTACATGTTTTCTTGAATTTGCGTACTCCGATACAGCTGTTTCACTTGGTGTAGCGACAAATAAGTCTCAAAAACTCTCTTCCAGTTTTTGTGACTAGTATGTATTTATCAATGCGTATAACTTCCAGTGTTGATTATGCTTGACTAAAGTGATCAGTTTCTGTTAGCCAATTGGCTCCTTGAATGCATATTTCGATATTGCCTCAAGTTTTAGTTTGATTCAATTTTTTTTGTTAGAGATTAGGAGTGGGATCCAAGACACGTGTTTCTTCTTATTTAAGACTCGTCAGATGAGTAAACCTGCGTCTCAGTGAATGATGGTGTTCGCAATGCCAACAGAGATGATCTATCTTGGTTCAATAAAACAAACAACCGTAAATCCTGAATGTCAGCCAATATAAACAATACCCCCAAGATGTGGTTCTCGTGACTTAGTGGCCTGGTGAACTGTTATCCGATATTTGAAGTGATCTGTGTGGAGCTCAATTAGCAGTGACAAAAAAGTCCCTTACTGGGTTGTAGGGGTATCCAGCCTTTGAGTTTTTAATAAGATGAAACACCCATTGTGAGTTCGATTGCTAGTCACCATCAAGCAAATTAAATCTGTGGATAAGCCTTTATACCTGCATTAGTCCATTAGAACGTCTTTGAGGAAACGACTAAGAAAAAAATGATTGCATTACACCGTTAGTTAAATTCTGAAAACTCCCCATAGTTTTTCTGTCAGAATGAACTGTAACAAGAGGTGTCTATTTGATAACTTATGTTTGAAAATCATATCAGTCATATTATTTTTCAATAAGTGTAGACTAAACTTTAGTGGCGGCCAATCACATTTAAGTATACAAAGAACAACCTAATTATTGAGGGAAGTGATACTTTATTTACAATTTATAAGTGTTTTACATGAAAAATAAAGATATCTAGGTTTTCAATAGGTTCACCGTCTTTATTTCTACTCATCCATATGAGACCATATTATATCCGTTGTAACCTTGTTGAAAATCTTGAGAAATTTCTAGGATGACTGCATATATTTTCAACGTTGTTTGTGTATGCCCTAGTTGTGCAGCCAAATAAGTGTTTTTCTGAACAATGGTGTGATGGGGATAACTTATTCCAGATAATAGCAGATACGACCTCTCAGCATCTGTGAATATTATGGTACCCGATATCACCCTTCTTTTTGTAACTTGCGAGACAGATTCTTCTGATCTACCATTTATCCACTGGAACCTCCCTTCTTCATATTTCGGTCGTATAAACCAAGAATCTGTGATTTTGCAAGATGTATGTATTAAACTTACCCAGTCTTGTTGAAGTCATTTTCTTCAGTTATATTTACTTTCCCGAACAAAATATTTATCTATTTAAACCACATTACTTGCTCTGCAGTACTGATGCCACTTTGCTGATGAAAATTCAGTCAAATCTACAAGAGCTCCTGCTGCTATTATAAGCGTTTCACCAACCCAACGTAGTAGTAAAATCACTATTTGCTGAAGAGTTAAATGAGATCCTTTGGGGGGCAATCCTGTCCTAGAAGGTATATTCTTGTGACGGGTGAGATAACGAAAGGTGAAACCATCTCTTTTCATGTTGCTAGTTACACAACCTATTAAACCACATTCCCAGTTTAGACTTCTCGCAAGCATCAAACTGTCTGCAAATAACCTATAAAGTAATTTTCGCTATAGTTCATCAAAGGTTTGTGCAGCATTGACAACCTAACAAACAGACATAACAAATGATCCTGAATACAGCACCTACAACTTGATTAGTTGTCCTCGAGGTTTCCTTTCACTGAAGCTTAGGTTGACCCGAATACGTTTACGTGAGACAGAAATAACAAGTTGATATGAAGCCTACTTCGACAGGCTTTACTACTTAGTGAGACTGAGTTTATGTTGAAGCAACGTGATTTAACTGTCTCAGTGTGCTTTGACCTTCAATAGTTGTTTTAGCGATGTCGGACAGCCTACTGAACCACTTTCATTCCAAAAAGAAACCGTTTACAATTCTCTAATTTGCAATTATTTCGTTATTTTTCTTTTAATAGAGTGAAATTGTGTTTATTGAAGCATGAAGGCGTGAATTTCAAAACATATATTACCTGGTATTCCTTTCTATGAATAAAGTAAAACAGTTGGTTGAAGAACTACAATCGGAAAAAGACGAAGGGAGAATCATCACAAAACTTCTAGAAATATATCAGGTCTATTCTCACAAACAAAATAAAAATTATGAAGCATTAAACATTTATTTGTTAAATTCTATTTTACCGCCTCTCCTATGCAACTGTATGAAGCAAAATTTTTCCCAGTTCAATGATAATTGGACCGCTTCTTATCAATTGAGCTGTTTTATATTAGAAATTATCACCTTCAGTTATCAAACTACTAATATCACGATTCTAAATGATCTACAAAATAATATCATTGAATCTCATTTAATCTTGTTAAAACGATTACAAAAATATTATCTCATGTCATCTTCTGACTCTTTAATAAAAATGGAGACACCTAGAGAAGAATGTCTAGATTTAATCCAGTCTTTATTGACAAATCTCCAAAAATTGATCAGACATTTTCAAACAATACCACATTTACTATTTAAATCCCCATGGTTTTTGCAATTATTTATTTCAGATAATCAAGAATTTTTCATCTTATTAGTTGAATTATTTACAACATGCATTGATTTGTCACCTGAGTCATTTCGACAATTAAAACACAGTTTACGAATTGATATTTTAGATGAAATAATTTATCATCTATCGATTGTTGATATCTCCAAAGGTGTAGAATCAATATTAAGGTAAGAAGGTATAATCTTGATTAATATAGGAGTAAAACTTGGGCACTGTGGTTGATTGCAATTCCATTTTAGTCTGTTTATTACAAATATCACACAGTGAAGCAGTATCATTTGCTGGATAACGTTTCGGACATAATTTATTATCCATTTTCAAATCAGGTGACTCCACAACTTCGAGACAGAGTTTACACAGTCTTAATTTCCTCTCCTTCTTTGCAACAATACAAGGTAGGTAAAACCTCATATATCTGGGACAGGTACAGAATCATTTCTGTTCCATGTATTTGGTGTTGATTTGATGAACAAAGATTCGGTTATAAATCTCTCCCTCCACCGAACTAAGTTAGTTCTCAACACTGTCACCCTATCTCACCCTACTGTGTGATTGTGTGCAGTGCTACAGACAAGCTTTTCTCTAAATATCTTATTAGGATCTACTAATCTTGATTTAGCCAAGTTTTTGTGCTCTTTTATTCTAATCGACCCTGGTAGACTACTTTCACCTTTGTATTTGACCTCGAAATCATCGCTAGGGATTTGGTACGATAAATTATTTTGCCTAACTGGATCAGTAGGATGTTTTAACCTGCAAACCTTGTTTCTAAGCGAGTTTGTTGGTTTAAATGCCACTTTAATCTCAGCTAGCCTTATTGAGAATTCCTCGTAATGTTTTTGAGGTCCCTTCCTTGCATGGTAACACAGCAGAAGCTTTGAATTCTCTCTCAACCTTGTCACCATTATTACCATTGGTAGTAGAACTATTATTAATGGCACCTGTATTACTACTACTACCACTGCTAGTAATTTTCTTTCAATTTATGAAGTATGAAGGATGACCTTGCAAAGGCTAACTGGATATTAAACAATCGAAGAGACTATGTCTATGAATATATGCATATATCATCAACGAGGCACTGCGCGAGATATGCATCTATCGAAGGCCGAGTATACCGCACTACAGTCCGTTATGTCCTGTTATACGACTGTGAGACATGGCTGTTAAAAGTAGAAGATATGAAGCGTTTACAGGTTTTTGATCACAGGTGCCTTTGTAACATTGCTGGTGATTGGCTGAATCACTGCATGAGTAATACAGATAGTAAGCGAAGAGTACTATGCAAAACAACCATGTTGGCCGATGAAGTTGTGAATCTTCAGCAAGTGAGTTAGTTTTCACGTGTTGTGCATGTTGATCGACAACCTACCTCGACGTGCTATGTTAGAAAAAGTTGGATTCAGTTGTAAGAATGCACAGGGTCATCAGATCAAACCATGGCACTAGTAGATGAAGTCTCTAGGTGATATGGCTAAAAATCGGCCACAATGAAGCACATTTATTCATTCTTTGACGTCTTCTAACCTTTGAATGTTTTAATTAACCTTCATTTTTAAATTCCTTGTCCCACTCATCTTTGCCTGCTTTGATATCAGTCTCTTTCTATCAATTTGCTCTTTGTATACTATTATGAAGTGTGGCAACTTGAACCGATGTACTTTTTTGGGAGGTTCTACGTTGATTCTGTCTGTCTGCTTGTCTGCGTCACAAAATATATATGCGACAACAAGTCACGCATAGGAACCTAGATCCTACACCACTTAGTACACACTAATTTAAATTATTTTTTTTCCTTATTTTTAGATGCCTTTTCGTGTTGTTGTCTAGCATACCAGAATTGTGTACAACAATACAAAAGCGCTATCGTGGAATTCAGTTGTTACTAATGAAATGGGTTGATCAGTTCACAAGTGAATCAACTGAAAATAAACATGAAAACTGTCATAAGAATGATACTTGTAGAAAATTATTAGATCAAATTATCAAGTTGATCAATGAATATAAGTTACCAGTCAGAGAAAATGAAACTGTTCATGGAAAGGAACAGTTTGGAAAGGTTAAAATGAATTTGGATCAAGCAGTGATCACCATTCAGTCGTTTTGGAGAGGATACTCAGACAGGAAAAAATTGAAACATGTGAATAAAAATATTGGACGCTTCCAAGTAAGAATATATGTTCCGTAAAGAGGTGTATATTGTAGTTTAATATACAGGACTATTTACTTCAGTTAACTCTCAGTATCAAACCCATTTAGTTCTACATTTAACCCTTTTTCAATCCACTTGATCATCAAGAATCCAACATTAAATTAAGATGTAATACACACCGGAAGATGATAGGTGATCAGATGATGGTTAGGGATGCTTTAGACCAAACGGTTACTGCAGTAAAAAGAAATTATAAATGTCACATCATTAGGACTATCCACCTTCCAAATTAGTTCACTTGAATGATGAATGTCTCTCAGACCCACCAGTACCTCCTTGGTACCAGAAAGGATAATGTATTCAAGCCATTTCAGAAAGAGTACATATCAAAAGAGCATTATACTTTGCATCATAACAGCAAGTGAATTGAAATAGCATCTGTTATCATAAAACATTATCAACAAAGATACATAATTCCGTTAAAGATTTGTAAGGACTCATTAATTTCAAAGAGGCTTTTATCACGCGAGTAGAAGGATCAACAGAGCTTTTAAGTGAGAACAGATATGATTTGACTATCTAAGATAGCCGTAGTTTGGCAGACTAGTATTTGTACTGGGTGATGATTGAAGGTGAGATGAAAACCTGGACCACGGCCGGATTCAAACCAACGACCACCAAAAATGAGAGTGTATGATGGTCGCAACATGTCACAAAGTTACAGATATTGAATAAACTAAACCACCGGATACCGTCACACTCCCGGAACAGTAACGTGCTCGGTTCCTCACTAAGTTACAGTTGCTCACTTCCGACAGATTCAAAACATAAACGAATCAGCTATCCAGTACTCTCAAGTTCGTAATGGTCCTTCAACTAACGTCAATCCATGATGAAAGGCACTTTAAAAACACATGAAAGTTTTAATTCGATGTTGAACAGTTAAACAGTATTATTTACTGGATGATGTTCCGAACACAATTGATTATCCATATTAATATCAAAGGCAACTCCATATTTCCCCTTTTCCTTCATCTGTTGTATGAGTAGCAGACTTTTTCAAACATCCAGAACATGTGTTATGTCATTTCTACTATACGTGCTCGATGTCGATTAGATGAACAAAGTTTCAGTTGCCGATATCTCATTCCACTCCACTAAGTTAGTTCTAAAGACAGTCGCCCTATTTCATCATTTTCTGTGGTTATGCACGATTTCATGCACTGCAATAGCTGAGTTTCTCTATAGGTTCCCTATCTTATTAGGGTCAGTCAGTCTGCATTTGGTCCAGTTTTTGTGCTCTGTTATTCTAACTGGTCCAATTCGACTTCTTTGCGCCTACGTACTTGACCTCGCAATGGTTGCATGGATCTGATAAAACAAATTATTTAGTCTAATAGCCTCTATAGGATATTTTTAGCCTGCAAAGCATATTCCTTAGTGAGTTTGCAGGATTAAATAAACCTTAACCACGGCCAGAACCTGCGTAAACCTTCTGAGGTACCTTTCTTGTACAATAACACGATGGAGGCTTTTAGTGTTGTCACTATTAGTATGTATATTATCTGTGTCTGTGTCGTTTATGATTCTCTTACAATTTCCCATTCATTTCTGTATTGCTTCATAAGGATGATTATTGAGTACCAGGGTTTCTTTTGTGTTTTATTTCCTGTCGTAGATTTCCTGTTTCACTGCCTAGACATTTCACCAAACCATTTTTACAGACAAGCGATGAGATGACCTGAAGTCTAAGTACTGGTTTGAATGCTCAGGTTTTCTGTAGACTCCAGTGTCTAGGATCTCATCTTGTCTCCTTTTTATTCCGCAATCCAGTACATCTAGTTCTTCTCCATCACTCTATAATTTACATCCGAACTGGATTGCGTCTACAACCTAATTTGTGTGTCGAAAGTGTATCAGTGTACTGTTAGTCTGACACCATAAGTGTTTCATGTACCGACCATATTTTAGGGGCAGAGATAGATGTCTTAAGAGCTGCTTGTGCCCAAATATTCGCAGATATGTCTGTCACTATTGGGGACATTGGTGGCCCTATTTCAACTCCTCCCGACTGCAGAAGTCAAGTACAATTACACTCAAAGTATGATTTCTTCAGTTGCCACCCTGGTTCTAAGTGTGAGTTCCTGATCAAAGCTGATATGGGTTGCAGGCGATTGATGAAATCCACCCTCCTGGCTGGGGATTGGGCTTTCGAAAGCAGTCGTTGATGGACTCCTAGGCCTGGCCAGTTGCCTGTTACCACCATGCAGGCAGTAATGGGTGAAATACCACAGTGCCATCTCAGTAACCGAGAAGAAAGGGGAGTTGATATCAGTCGAGCCAGCAGTGTGAGATACACCTGGTCTTATAGAGGTCATCCAAATCATGCACTTGATTCCATCCCAGTTTAGGAGGTACGGGTAGATGCTTGGGAGTTTGAGACCTTCTCCGTTATTAGGAGTGCATGGTCTGTTATTCACACCGTTTTCATGTGTATACATACGCATAATTGGAAGCCAGCCCATTGGTCCGTGACGTTAAACTGACCTTAAACAGGTTAGGCTAGTAAAATTGGAATGTCTCAGTTTATGTTTCCTTAACTTTTTAAGTGCATGAAGCAAACTGCTGCAAAATCGGTGGTCATCACAAACCAATAAGAGCTAAAGCACCTGAAATTAACAGATAAACAGCTATATCTTCATAAAACTTTCCACAAAATCGCTTCAGTCCAAGGTGTTACACTTCTCAACACTATATATCAAAGGAGTATGTTCAACTACTTGCTATTGTATACTTTGGTTAACTCTATTCACACACATGTACACGCTAAGGCTACCAAAACCTAACTACCTCATGGTTTGATTTCAACTAATCATCTAACTGACCACACCAACTAATCTGTTCATTGTATGTATGGATGAAAACAGAAGATGCTTGAATTGATATCATGCTAAAGCATTGGTCATACTTGTTTATAACTGACTGTATGATGGATAGAAAAACCGGGTTATGTATCACAAAAACATGATGATGAATGCAGATAATTGGTGAAGAAAGTTACGAGCTGAAAAAAAATTAGTCGCCTACGTAGCCGTCTAATCTTCAGTCCTAAGCACAGACCGAAGTCTATCGATCAAGCTGTTTAATGTGGCCACTTATCGAAGTGACGTGACACTGTGGTCCACTGTATGTTTTGTTCACATAATCCAGTATTCTAGAGGTTGAGTGGTGAGCTGAATATCTTGCTTAATGACCAAGTTTCTAGCTTCCGTACTGATTGACGCAGGCAAAAATAATCAGTTTCCTCATTCCTTTAGATACGCCCGGCTGATGAGTGCCGAAAAGGCAGAAGCCTGAGGGGAATAGGGATTCCTGACGATTGACTCTCATGATCCCGTACCAGAAAGTTACAAACTGATTATAAAAGCTTGTATTTAACCAAAATGGGAATTCAGTGACTCACTGCAGTCTGTTTATCCTTCTCTCCTTTGTTGTTCTTCCTTTATTTTTGATACAAAGTACTGACGTAAGAAATCAAATGAAGATAGCTATAGATAACATTTGGCACTTCCTTTGCTATCTGTGGTTACCAGTCTCAGTGTAACCTTGGTAGTGACTTTTGAGAATGCCAAGCTTAATAATATCAGTGAGAATATCAGTTCCAAATGAGCATTCCTAATGAGTCAGCTTATTATTATTATTTTTCCGTTTGGTTCTTAGCGGAATATGGAGCTTCAGTAGCACGTCGCAATTTCACTCTATTCTCTGCAGTCTTTTCAACTTGGCTCCAAGACTGTCAACAAGCTTTCTTTTTTCTCTCACACGATCTCCTCCATGTCACCCTCGACGCCCAACTCTTCGTTTCCCCTTCGGGGTTCCACTCGACGACCTGACATGGCGCTTGATATCCCCAAAACTGACTTCCCAGTGTATGTCCAAGCCAATCCATCTCCACTTTTTCCTAAATATTTGTTGGGCGATGGGATCTTGGTTGCTTAGTTCCCAGACTTACTTGTTGCTTATTCCTATTATTCTGACCATCTGATAATCTTCAGTATCGAGCCAGTGTAGGCGACAGCTGTTGATGAATGTCTGCAGTTTGTTGGAAGTGCTTTACGTGACGCGCCAAGTCTCTCAACCATACAGAAACACTGACTTACTTGACTATATTAGTGTTGAAAATCTGGATGTTGTTCACGCTTTATGCTGAGTGGAGTGCAGTGCAGCAGATCTCCACACTGTTTTCAGATTAATGAAGGCCCGTCTCGCTGACTTCCCGATCCTGGCTTCGACATCCTCATCTGTGCCTGTGTCGTCTGTAGTTGACACGATACTGCCTTGCCTAGTTAGGTGTAGGTAAAAGAGACTACTTCCTTTAGGTTTCCCCCATTCATCATGATTAGTGTTTGTTGTTGATGCTGTTGTTGACTGGGTATCTTCATCACCTCTGTCTTCTCTACGTTCACCTGGAGGAAGTCCCGTCTTCGCTGCCTCGTCTCTTCTGTCAACTTGTTGGTTTCCGCCTATAGATCTTCAAGTCTGTGCGACATAAGACACAAATCATCATCGTTGGTGAAATCAAAATCTTCTAGGCCCTTTTCATCAGTCAAACAGCGTTCGCCCATCTACTCGCTCCTCACAGTTAGTTGCGTGATCCAATCGACCACAATCAGGAAGATCATCGGTGACAGTGAACGGCAACCTTGTCTTACTCCTGTCTTCATTTCAAAGGCGTCACTGAGATTTCCATTGTGAATCACTTGGCATGTGGCATCCACATATAGCTGTTGAATGAGGTTGATAAAGGTTTTTGTGTCAATGAAACCGTAGTGTTGAAGCAGCTGCCTTCCAAATTACTTCTAGGTTGACGCCTCGATTAAAGGCCTTTTCAAAATCGATGAAGTTGAGGTAGAGTTGAGTTGACTGCCATTCTATCGTCTGTTCAATGATGATGTGTAGCATAGCGTTGCACTTCCTGAATCCAGCCAACCAGCCAGCCAGCCTGTTTCTGTCATGATATTGAATGCAGAGCATCTTATAGTCTGTCCAGGATGATGTGGCATAATAGTCTGCTTGCTTTGGGTGGACAGGAGTGGAGCATGATTCTTCGTCAGTTCTTGCAAAGACTTAGGTCTCCGTTACTTAGGAGTTTGTTGAGGTAGTCCTTCTCCCAATCAATGTGCAGGAACCTTTCTTTCTTTCCTTCCTTCCTTCCTTCGAAACCTTCTACAATAGTGGTGTGAGCATATCCACTGTTGTCTCTGTGTCTGTTTTCAGTGCTTCTGGAGGAATTCCATCTGGTCCTACTGCTTTCCCGGAATTCAGCAGTTATATGGCGTTCATCACTTCTGCTATTGTCAGAGGGTTTGTGTTCAGTGGTAATTCTGTGGCTGGACAGCTAATGGTATTTGTGGACAAGTTGTAGGTGGTGGTGGTCGATTGAGGAGTGTTTTGAAGTGGTCAGTCTATCGTTTCCTTTGTTTCTCCTCTTTGGATTTGACTGGTTTCCTTCACTATCTTTCATTGGTTTCCCCTGTGTTGATCTATTTCCTCCCAGATAGTAACCTGGTTATTTGATATACTGTTGTCAGGTCTCTATCTCTCCTACCAGCAGCCTGTTCTGCTTCACTTGCCAATGTGTCGCAGAAGTGTCTTTTGTCTTTCAACGCACTCTCCTTTACTTCTTCGTCCAGTTTAGTGTTTTACAGGTTGTGTTCAGTTCCTCTTTTCGCTGTTCATCCCTGCAATTCATTGCACTTGTTCATCTTCAGCTTCACCGCTTTTCTCTCCCTGCTCTGTCAGCTTTCATGTGTCCATCGAGATCCATTCCTTTTCTTGTTTCTTCTTCATCCCTAGCACGGTTATGCAGGTTTCCTTCCACCTCGCTTTCAAACAGTCCCAGTGTTTTTCCATGCGGGTTCCTTCAGAAATGTTGCTTAGTGTCTCCACTTTATCTTGATGTCTGACGTGAAGATGTCCTTTGTAGTTTCGTCCTTCAGTTCAGTTTCTGTCCTGAGTGCTCAACTTCAACTGTGGCCGTCTATCACCAACCTCTATGAAGGCTTTCAAGTTGATTTTGAAGGTAGGTTCCTTGTACTAGATAGTGGTGTTAGTGGTGTGAACTTACATCTTCTCCTCTTCGTGATCTGATCTTATATCTAACAGGCTGCCTCTCTACTTTCTTCACATTGAGATGAGGTCTATCTGGTTTTTAGTGCGTCCTGATGTCTAGTGAAATCAAATCCATATCGCTTTGTGTTTGTACACACTGCCTCCAGCCATCAAATCGTTGAATGCTCAGAAGTCTGCAAACAGTCCTCCATTCTCGTTCATCATTTTACCGAATGCTTCTCGACCCATAATGAGTTCTCTTCCCTTGTTGTCCGCTCCGAGTTTGGCATCCATGTCACCCATTAGAATGCATTTTGATGTGGCCAACTGGGGCGGGGTCTTATCCAGTACTGATTGCAGTTGTCTGTAGAATTCCCCCTTCTTCTCTTTATCTGCCTAGTTATTTGTAGGTGCATAGCATTGTATGATTGTGACTCTCCTTCCTTTTGAGTTGAACCTTGCTGTCATGATCCTGGAGGAGATTGGTTCCCACTGTATGAGAGCCTTCGATGCTGTTGGGGACATCATGATAGCCACTCGAAAACTCAGTGTGCTGTGCTAGTGGTTGTCGTGTGGGTGACAATATTGGAGTAGATTAGCGAGTCTCCAGTTGACAGTTTGGAGAGTACACTTCCATTCCATCTACTTTCGCAGATTCCAATCACTTTACTACTATACCTTCTTATCTCTTTTACAATCTGGGCAACCTTGCCAGGTTCAAACATCGTTCGGACATTCTGTGTCCCCATTCTTACTTTCGCTTTCATCAGGGGAGAGAAGACACATCGCCCAACTGGGTTTTCGAAGGCTTTCACCAACTGACGTCATTTCGTCTCCCAGATTCCAAAGAGGAATAAGTTTATTTTAATTTTATATATTTTCTTTGTGCTTTGAAGTTTCTTTAGCTATTGGGTCGGTTTTACGGGGTAGGGTTACTAGCCTTATGCCCAACCTTCTCTCTTTATCCGGGCTTAGGACCGGCTAGTAAACTAGGCGAGGTGAATGAGTCAGCTAGTTCTTAAAAATCAATCAAGAGTATCAAACACCGATAATTTAGTTTGATTCTTAGCATAACTATCATGATCTCATTCCTAGTCTGTTTTTTTATTCCAATACAAGAAAAACTTCAGAGAACGTCAGCTGAAGAAAACTAACGACCTACAAAGAGTAAAACTAGAGAAAGAACTCCAACATACAATTAATATGAGTCGTCATAAACGGTACAGAGAGAAATTAGAATCAGAAATGAAACTATGGTCAAGTTTACCTCCACAACTGGTTGAAGTAGCTTGGAACAAGCAACGTGAAGAAGCTGCTATCTCAATTCAACGACATTATCGTGGATATTCTACACGTAAAAGCATCAAAAGTCAACATGACTACTTAAAACGTGATAAAGCTGCACGAATAATTCAATCATACTTTCGTAGGCATCTCTCACGTTTAGAATGTCTATCAACAAGAAAATATATTTTCCCTTTACATTCATTAGACAATAACATCATGAAGAAAGAATCGAAATTGATAGACAGCAAGTTCTTAGAGTAAGTTTAACTGAATGTTGTTTTGTTCATTTGTCTCATCCTAAAGTGATCCAATATAATATTTCTCATTTCTTTAATGACTTCCTTCATTCTAATTTTCTACTTCTCAACAGTATGTTCGTGCATTCATTTTAATTAGGGCTTCACGATAGTGATTTTTATAGTTCCAGTGGGTGTCAAAAGTGGAATTGTGGCTCATTGGTTTAAAGGAGTTAACTTTCAACCAACGAGATCCGGGTTCGAACAACGCTCCACCTACCGAAGTCTAGGCAGCCAGGTAATATCTGGTCTTCATGCAATATGTGTGGCTCCCTGTCTACTGCATTAATCTCTAGAAGGGTTTTGAGTGGATTTCAATTTTTTCGATTTTATTTAAAATCATAAAGTTGGAAGAGGCTTCAAGGTGACCAGAACAAGACCTGTCACCAGTCGTTGAAACCTCAGACCGTTGGTGTTAGAGAGATGTAGGCTGCATGACTGAGGTCTCCGAGGTGAAAAGAATTAGTGATTGAGGACTCTTGACGACATAGCTGAAAATCGATCACAATGGCTCAGATGTGTTTATTCCTTGACACCTTCTAAAGTTTAAATATTTGCACCAACCTTTATCTTCAGATTGTTTATTCTCTCATGGAGCTTTTTATACTTTGGAATCAGTCTTTTTCTATCCACCTGTTCTTGATAAACTACTGTGAAGTGTGGCAATTCAAGCTGATACACCTGTATGTGAGATCCTACAATAATCTTTTCAGACACTTAATATCATACAGTTCATGTATTCGTAAGAATATCGTGAATACAGCTTACTTCTCTTTTCTACTACTAATTCTACTATCGACTGACCACACTTAAAACTACGGGTATAGTGACGTAAACTGAAACAGGACATTATTTGCAACAGAATTCGAGCCACTAACCTGTTAGTTACGTGAATTAAACATCATGAACTAACCTACGTCCATGATGAAAACCAGCTCGATATCACTAAATCCCCATACACCCTCAAATTCAATTGATCTAGTGCTCACTGGTAACAAGCTTTGAGAGGTGATTCCAGAAGTTCCAACGAGAATTTGTGTCCGGTGGGTGAAACCTGGTGGCCATGAGGACAAATGCTCAACGGTGATATCGTGTGATGGTCACACTACGTGACTCAGTGGTAACGTGCTGGCCGAGAAACCCGAAGGTCTTAAGTCCGATCCTTGGCTAGGACATGAGTGCAATCTGTCGAGGAGCCCCATGCTAGGACGAAACGTCTGTCCAGTGCTCCTACGTCTCCATCTTCCTCCAACTGATGTCAGTCCATGATGAGTACCAACTTAAAATCACTAGTCCCTACAAAACGTCAAATCAAATCATTGTTATTCACCTTACTATGTTGAACTGACTTAATATAGATACAGTTTGTAGTGGTGTAAGTCATAGCCAATTTGAAATAAGACAACAGGGCTAATCGTCTTGTTAGAAGGAAAGAGGAACAGTTAAAGTTAGTTTGTCATACACTGGAAGCAGATAACTACCTCAAATATGTCGTAAAAAGAATTTTTTAAACGGAATTTAGGATGTACCGAAACACTTTACGAAGAACTGGATAAACACGGTGATAATCCCATTTCGTAAGGAGACTTTGTAAGAAATAAGAAGGATTCTCAACAAGCATGACATAAGTGTCCACCTTTTTGCAACAAATATCACAGGCTCCAACTTGATGAAAGTTGATATAGTACCTAAAGAAAATCAATGTAACTTTAGTTTCTATATGATAATCACTTTGTTTCAAACAACATTTGTGATACATCATGGAATTTCCAGTAGGTAATATTTCAAGAAATACTTTCCCCGTACAATAATCTTAAAGAAATGACTGTTGGAACTGAATAGTGTCAATAATAACGGTATTAAAGGCATTAATGTGAAATCGGTAGCTGGTGCTACATTAGCGTCCAGTCTGGACTTGGGAATGAATACAAAATCGAGTGTAGTTATGGAGGTAATAGTTCAGTCAGCCAGTACAAAAATCGGTGTTTCCATGTAGGTATCCTAAGAATAGTAACGTGCTGTATTTTTGAACATTTATATGCTCATTTCATCCGGTGTAACGTTTTTTATTTGTTTCTTCCCTTACTTGAGAAATAACAGTTTGAAAACTTCTTAAAAAGGTGTCAGAGTACATGATACGTCTGCAAAACATATTTAACAGATTAAAGCAAACAGAAAAGGAAGAATCTGATGAAATATATTCCGTGAAAAGATTTTTGGTAGCCCAAGGTTTAAGCAGGCCACATTTATGAAATCAGATGAGCAGATTTTACTGCAGTTTATGTATGCGAAACAGCCAGGCAGATAAATGTAAGAGTAAAGCAGCATAGACTGCCTAAAGCACATTTTGAAAACCTCAACAGAAGTCAAGAAGCTAGAGAACGAATCAGCAATCGGGCTACAGACCATTGAAATCGTCAACAAAACTGACTTTGATGCAACCAAAGCTCTACGAAAAGGTTTTTTGTTATACCAAGAAAGATTGACACTTGAAACACTACATATACGCGCAAATTTAGAGAGTTTGGACAGTAGAGATGGTAGAGAGTAGTTAGCTGCGTCTTGGTAGTTACTGATTGGTAAGCAGAAAGAGTCACTCTAGCATTTACCTTCAACATCAATCTCAACTTTATGATCTCTGCACCAGTAAAAATGTACAATTTGGATTGATATGACTCATTGTTATTATTATTATTGTCACCTGCATCATAACTACCATTCATTCCCACTCTATCCCAACAAAACTCGTTACTTCCATATTAGATTTGTTTAGTTGACATCTGTCGCACATTGATACAGTATTATTTTATTTTCACATAATAATTGCTCACTCTGATTAACGTAATTAAACATTTAAATGTGGGGTGAATCGGATCATCTGAACAAAACTGACGAGCATATCCAAACAGGACCATATGAACAGATCAAGAAACCTATAGACACCGTCATTTATCAAGTAAATAGCACTGTATCACTGTGCGATATGTATGAAATAAACAAACCTAGTATAGAACTACATCCTACCACAGTGCCCAAATTTCACAGTTATTAATAAAACTCGTTAATACTATTCATCCTTATGTACCAAGCGAAGTGACATACATATCCACCTCATATATTCTATTTATTTATAAAAGTCACCGAATGGCTACAATCTCAATGTAACCAAGGCGAATAGGGATAGTGTCATACACATATACATACATACAAACACACACACACACATACTAACTATACAACAAGACACACAACTTCAGGAATGACTTAAAAGGCCACCTTAGCAATAACTGGAATAACCAATCATACTTCTTTATTTCGTGAAAATATGCTTTTCCGGCAGAAATAAAGAAGCCTAATTGCTTCTTTTGATAGTTACTGGGGTAGTCTTAGAGCCAACTCAATTTCACTCTGAGTGATCAGTAATCGTATTTTAGAAAGACAATAACTATAACAAGAAAACTGAACAAGGAGATTAAGTATACGCCTTCGGATTCATCTATATTTCCTTGAAATTTTAATTATTGATTATTTCTCTGATAAAGCTCAAACCAGGCCTCCATATGAAATGCTGGAACTATTTTATTTTAAACACTCTGTGACTTACATAAATAAAAAATTATATCTAATGTCAGCCTTTTATTCAGCGCCTAATATGTGCGTAACTGTTAGACTAAATCTTGATCATATAGATGTTCATATAAATGACTTACTTTTGCTGATGTATAAATTCACTCCACAAATGTTTCGAAACTGATACTGATTAAATTATATCAGCTTTTTTAAAATAATGGCCAGTTAGAAAACTAGGCATATACATTTCTCCATATTTGTAACTAGTATTCACCAGAATATAAAGAAATCTGGTTGATGAAACCTAGACGGGACGAAGCGCAATCACTAAATTCTACTGCCACCCATTATAGGACAGTATGACTTATGATTATTAATTCAGATCAAATCTAAGTTTCTTTTGTTCAATTAAGGATCATCAAAGATGGTGTGAAACTCATCAACGCAGTATTCGACCTATCACTCAACTAGAAGAAGTTCATAAAGAAACGCAAATCAAACTTGAAAAATACCTTCATAGTCGTAGGATTAGTAATATCAAGGTAAGCTCCGACTGTTTGTAAAACTTTTGATCAAAACTGTTCACCTGAAACGTGTCTCTTAATAGCATCTTTTTATCATCAGTGATGAATTACTGTACACTATGCAACACTCGATGCTTTATTATAACTTTATTCGAGAGTGGATATTCACAAGTAATCAAAGAGGAAAAGCAGACACAAATCTCATAATTACTGCAATCAGTCAGTAGGCTTTCCGAAATTTATTGTTTCACAGATGAATACTGCTAGAAGTGTGAAAACAAATGAGACTTCTTGGCTGCCTAAATTACTGAAAGTTACTTCATCTCTAGGTAACTAAAAAGGATATTGGATTAGTAAGGCTGCATGCATTCACCTAAGAGAGTGATAAAAGATCCTAAGCGACACTTAGTTGGTATTGATCATAAGCAGCTTTCCAAGAAATTTTAGGCTTAGACTGAAATCATATGTAAGTATGTGAAACGTAATTAACTTTTTACACTGCAATAAATATTCGAGTGAGACTAAAAGTTATCCTCGGGCGTTTTCGCATTCTGTCTGAAAATATGTATTTCGTGTTTTCTGTATGCATATTTCCTAAAGTAAAAACTCCAATCATAAATCCCTTTGGATGCAATTTAAAGCCTCAACTAACTCACTGTGGTCAGTGAGCGTCATTTATCCTGAATAACTGTACTTACTTTCCGCCCAGGAAGTGGAAGTACATCCAATAAACTGAACATGAATAAACAGTTTGATGCACTATTAAATGACAGACTTTACTATAAAATCCAACTCAAATAGGTAAAATATTCATATAGAGCACAGAAAATGTTCATATTTTCACAAACGACCCAACAGCCTAGAGCGAACATGATAACACCTGGAGGATACTTTGCGAAGTTGATGAAATGTATATGTAATGCACAGTTGTTTGATAGTCACTATCAATGAAAATGCAACAAACAGTTTTATATTTAGTTTAATTGTTTTTATATTATGCCGTCGTTGATTAGACCGAATTGATCGGTCTCTATTAGCATACGGCCTCTAATCCATCATTACTATAATTAGAGCACAGGTAATAACGAGGCATCCACACAGGAGCCCATATGCCAATAGAGATCGATCAATTTGGTCCAATCAACGATGGTATAATACATTATACTAAAACTATACTCGTTGCACAAGTATTGGTCATCATGGGTCGATGGTGTAGTGGATAACGCTCTGGCGTTTGTCGCAATCACTCCTGAATCTGAATCCCGCTAGGTACAACATCACTCGCTGGGAAGCAGATACATATAAACAGGACGAAATGCACATCTTGGATTCCACTACTAGCCACTATCCATCGTTACCATGGTTTTATATCCGTTTTGGACTCATCAGATTGACATCCATGTTCCTTAAAGTCAGTACTTTCACTCAAAATCTAACGGAGCATTCATGATTCTAAATGCCAAGATGTTACACGCAACTCAAGTGGGTTACAGTAGATGTATATTACTGGACAAGTATGTGTTGATCATACGTACGGAATGAAATACTTTCCATCACATCGAAAGTCAGTCATATACATTCAATATTGTGCGTTTATGAATACGAATAGCTGCATCTGATGCTATGTTTAATAAATCTGCACGATCTCAATCATTAATTTACTCCCTTCACCTTCGACCATATGCATGACTCCAGATTGTTTACTGTAAAACTGTTCTACGCATAAATGATACATGAAAAGTACTATCAATAAATAAATAACAAGGTTCTACTTTATTTACCTTCAATAATCATAACGGTTAACCATCGGGTAAAAACAAAGCCAGTATTGACTTAATTACTTTCCTCTTTATAAGCTTACAGCAACTGGACACTACAAGTAAGGGATTCTGTTAAAAATAAATTAACCACTTTGAATTTCTACTATTATCCATTCATAAAACCTAACTTTGAGTTACTCATAGGACACGGATAAGAAACATCCTAAAAGTTATTTTACTTCAAAGCCGGAGAGTTTGCCTAACTAAATTGTGTTCTCATATGACTTTTATGAATAACCACCTTCCAAACACAGGAGTATAAAAGGTAGAGCGAAACGTACATCAAATCTTAATTTGTAAGTATCTACATTCACACGATATCTTTATTACTTTGGAGGATTTTGTGTCCAATTATTGTCGCATGGTGTGTTGAGTTTATTCGATTCATTGTTTTATTGGACCAGTAGTAAATCTTTCTTTGTTACTAGTCAGTCAGCCACTCAACAGTCCAGGAAACAAACATTATCAGTTCAATTTCTGCTCCATAATTTCATCTCTGATTACTGCTGTGACTGGATGTGAAGCTGAGCCAGCACACAACATTGAAGTAACACCTTTACGTAGTAAACATTGCCGGCTTAAGTGATCAAAAACAGGAATTAACAGGAATACCCTTTTGTCTTGACGATTATGCTTACTGACAGTCATCGCTAAGCCTATACGTAGTACTGTCTGATGAACAAATTCAAACCTTTACTGGTCATAGCTTCAACTTGTAATACTGCAGCTGATCTTTTGATTCCAGTCTTGACTCACTTCATGCAGGTGAATGACTTGAGCCTTCGAGATTGCAAACTCACCTTATGGAATAAATGTAAATAGTTAGAAAAAAATTTACCGTCAGATTCTCCTACAAAATGATTATAACTATAAAAAATATCAATAAACTGATTACACTGATATGTCTACTTACTGGGTTTCATAGTAATGTTGCAAAGTTTATCGAAAGTATTTAGAAGAGATTGAAGACTAATCTGTGACTGAGTAAAGGAATTAGAAAAAAATTCACATTTTTAGATCAGTTGTAAAGTGAACTAACGTAGTGAGATCTGATATAACTATGAGGAATGTGAAGTTTTGGATGAAATTTTGTCGAAAAATCTAGCTGATTTCGTCTAAGTAAAACTAAAGCATTTTAATTTCTAAAAATATACTTGTCGAGTGGAACGAATATCATATGTTGTAATCCATAGTATAAAGTTGAGATTCACTGGCTGAGGTACGTAAAAATTGGAATTCTGAAGACCAGTAACTTCATTTTCTACCAATTAGAAAATATCGGTCTTACAAATAAATGTTTAAGGGAAACGTAGGGTCTTCTAAAATGTCAATAGATACCAGTGAGTTCAGTAGCTTAGCTATGTACTCTTTCAATGACTATAACGCTCTGATTAAGATAGCCGGTCAGTCCTTCAGTCAGTCAGTATCAACGTATGGTCTGACTTAAATGCGTAGTGACCCGAGCTACAACATTTTGCATCAGCACACCAAGATGTAAGAGAGAGAAACAGGGAGGAAAGTAATCAAAAAAGATAGAAAGTCGTGAAAAAAGAAGCTAAGATGAAACAGCGATGAATTTCGGCGAGATATTTAAGACGAAGATAATATCTGAATATATCTATTCCTCTGATATCAGTTCTCATCCAGATCCAACCATCGGTTTGGATGTCACGTGGACACCAACCAACAAGTATTCATTTTCTAACACGACTGTCAAAAACTTCATACAGTGATAACACATCTTATTCAGGACACCTCTAACCTTTTACCAGACTAAACCTACTTCAACCAACATTTTTCGACAAGCCAGACGTTGACGAGACATAAGTAAAGCATGTACCAACAACATGAATCAATCAAAGTTCACAATATTATTGACTGACTTTCCTCTTCTCTCTAAAACTCTACGCTTAACTTCTATGCTACTGATGAGGTGACACTACAATAAACGGCCTATGCTACAAACACGACGGCAGTCAAACTCCTAGAATGTTCGCATACGTAAATGTCTGTGAATTAAAGGCTGAACATTTTAGTTTGATGATTCGTACTAGTTATAAGTGGATGTAATATGGTAGAAAGATTCTGTCGTCAAGTAACATACTGTAGTCTACGACTGTTTCTATCATCAGTTTTTCTTCCTTGGGTTCCTGGTGGAACAAAGAGCTTCAGTAGTACATCTCCATTTCACTGTATTCTCTTCAGTCTTTTCAACTTGGCTCCACCACTACCCACAAGCTTCCATTTCTTCCTCACATCATCTCCCCCATGTCACCCCCGGACGCCAAACTCATCCTTTCGCATTTGGATTCCACTCGACGGCATGGCCTGGCACGTGATGTCCCAAATCGGTCTTCTCAGTGTATGTCCAAGCCAATCCATCTCCACTTTTTCCTAAATATTTGTTGGGCGACGGGATCTTGGTTGCTTAGTTCCCAGACTTACTTGTTGCTTGTTCCTATTATTCTGACCATCTGATAATCTTCAGTATCGAGCCAGCGTAGGCGACAGCTGTTGATGAATGTCTGCAGTTTGTTGGAAGTGCTTTACGTGACGCGCCAAGTCTCTCAACCATACAGAAACACTGACTTACTTGACTATATTAGTGTTGAAAATCTGGATGTTGTTCACGCTTTATGCTGAGTGGAGTGGAGTGCAGTGCAGTGCAGTGCAGTAGATCTCCACACTGTTTTCAGATTAATGAAGGCCCGTCTCGCTGACTTCCCGATCCTGGCTTCGACATCCTCATCTGTGCCTGTGTCGCCTGTAGTTGACACGATACTGCCTTGCCTAGTTAGGTGTAGGTAAAACAGACTACTTCCTTTAGGTTTCCCCCATTCATCATGATTATTGTTTGTTGTTGATGCTGTTGTTGGCTGGGTATCTTCATCACCTCTGTCTTCTCTACGTTCACCTGGAGGAAGTCCCGTCTTCGCTGCCTCGTCTCTTCTGTCAACTTGTTGGTTTTCGCCTATAGATCTTCAAGTCTGTGCGACATAAGACACAAATCATCATCGTTGGTGAAATCAAAATCTTCTAGGCTCTTTTCATCAGTCAAACAGCGTTCGCCCATCTACTCGCTCCTCACAGTTAGTTGCGTGATCCAATCGACCACAATCAGGAAGATCATCGGTGACAGTGAACGGCAACCTTGTCTTACTCCTGTCTTCATTTCAAAGGCGTCACTGAGATTTCCATTGTGAATCACTTGGCATGTGGCATCCACATATAGCTGTTGAATGAGGTTGATAAAGGTTTTTGTGTCAATGAAACCGTAGTGTTGAAGCAGCTGCCTTCCAAATTACTTCTAGGTTGACGCCTCGATTAAAGGCCTTTTCAAAATCGATGAAGTTGAGGTAGAGTTGAGTTGACTGCCATTCTATCGTCTGTTCAATGATGATGTGTAGCATAGCGTTGCACTTCCTGAATCCAGCCAACCAGCCAGCCAGCCAGCTGTTTCTGTCATGATATTGAATCCAGAGCATCTTATAGTCTGTCCAGGATGATGCGGCATAATAGTCTGCTTGCTCTGGGTGGACAGGAGTGGAGCATGATTCTTCGTCAGTTCTTGCAAAGACTTAGGTCTCCGTTACTTAGGAGTTTGACGATGTAGTCCTTCTCCCAATCAATGTGCAGGAACCTTTCTTTCTTTCTTTCTTTCCTTCCTTCCTTCCTTCCAAACCTTCTACAATAGTGGTGTGAGCATATCCACTGTTGTCTCTGTGTCTGTTTTCAGTGCTTCTGGAGGAATTCCATCTGGTCCTACTGCTTTCCCGGAATTCAGCAGTTATATGGCGTTCATCACTTCTGCTATTGTTAGAGGGTTTGTGTTCAGTGGTGATTCTGTGGCTGGACAGCTGATGGTATTTCTGGACAAGTTGTAGGTGGTGATGGTCGATTGGAGAGTGTTTTGAAGTGGTCAGTCTATCGTTTCCTTTGTTTCTCCTCTTTGGATTTGACTTGGTTTGCTTTACTATCTTTCATTGGTTTTATTTGCGTTGTTCTCTGTTTCTATACTAGTTTAGAAACCTAGAACGTTTGACCAAAGCTCAGACGATCGAATTTAATGCCATATCACTGCTGTTGTTTTAACTGCCAACCAACTATCTCAAGTTTATCTACGAGTGCATAAGGAATGACTACATCCAACAATTCGGGTATGCAGCGGTTCCACTTTAAAAATACGAAGTGATTTTACTTTTTAATTGTAACTTTAGGTTAAAGAAAATGTTATGTTCATTCAGAACAAGACATAATATTGTCCTAAGAAAACTATAAACTGTTGGCTAAAGTCGAAACGAACAAAAGAAAATCAATGATACTGATAAAAATTGACGAATTCATGCTTTACATGCATACAAATTGGGAACAACTTGTCATTTCAATATGTTCACCTTTCTATTTTGCAGCTAATTGACTTTTGTATGAAGTTTCCTACTTTTCTGCTGGTGTATTCATTCATAAAATCTCTGATTTCATTAATCAAAGAAGGTAAAAGTTGTTCGACTATTGACGATTCGTAGAAGTGTGACTGAAGCCAGAGTTAGTTCATTTTCAGTGAAGTTCTCTTTCTCTAAATGGGACCAAATGATTATAAAAATCTTTTCAGAATTAAATGGGCTACTCATACTAAAAATTCTCATCTATTCCCAGTAGTACGACTTCCAAAGACTTGTCTTAGTAGGCAGTTAAGAAACTGTTCAACGGATTCACCCATCTTATCTAAATCAGAATAAATATGTTGTAGATGAAGTCGAATAGCTACTAGCGTACTAGATGGATAGTACTGAGATCATATAAACCTGGACAATTAGAAAGAGTACCTTCCGTATATTCATTATACCAAGCAGAATATTTTGCTGTTATTTCATGTTCAGTGTTGGTTTGGTGTTATCTGAGCTATAATATTTCCTCGTAGATACGTCATGACTAGACATATTCTAAAGTTACACGAATATTAAGATAGTGTAGTGTTTCTGCTCACCACTCAAATATTCATGTAATTAACCTTTCAACATACTTCCTCTCCTTTTATGCAGTTAGTGCTGATGTTTTCATCAAGTCTAGAGATAAAGTGTTCACGACAAAATATCAAAGGTCAGAAAACATCAAATCATTATCATCTTTATCCTGCACTACGCATTTTTCCCATCATTTCAGAACCACCATTTTTTTCATTTGTTCAGAACTCAACTGATGGTTTAGACAACCATTAGCTCGGTGAAGCAATCACAAACTGAAACTAATTCTCAAGAGAATAGAAATAAAATTTTGGCACTGTAGTATATTATATTTTCAGTTTAGTCTGTTTATTAGATTTGTCACACAGTAAAACAGTATTATTTACTGGATAAAGTTCTAGACATAATTGATTGTCCATATTCATATGGAATTATTCTTAAGAGGTTCCTAAAACTGCGAATTTCAGCTATTTCCGGTATTATAGTTACTAAAAATCACCCATAGTATTCACATTTATTTCTATGCAGGTCTAACCTTTCTCTACAATGACAGTAAGTAGGTAGGGATGCTCATATTGTAGAGGATTGACTGTTAATCAGTGTCATATCTTAGCTACTGTAACTTTACAGTGGGTTTTTTTATCAAAGTGAACAATGCATCTCATCCATTCCCATATATCTTAATACCGGGTTCAAATCTGAACTAGGAACGGAAACATCCATAGATGAAGTTGCACTCAGCTATCAACTTCCAAGTGAGATGAAATACTTCTTCTGAATTCCGTTGTTAGTCACGATTAAGCAAGTCAAATGAATATGAAGATGTTTAGCTAGTATATTCTTGAAAATTGTTACTATGTACTGTTATTGTTGCATATTTCTATTTTAATTAGAATCAAGCCAGGCAAGTAACATTCACAAGAATGAAGATTGACTCTGATTTATTATTGAATGAAGTGATCGAAGAAGATAAACGGATAGAACAAAATAAAACAATAACTCCAAGACAATTATGACACTGGCGACAACGACAACAACTACAACAACATCAACACTTAACAAAATAGTGAGTAAACATATTGAAAACACAGATTTAGCAAACGCATTCAGTCAATTTACATGTCGTGTTCAGCCATTGGCTCGTTTAGCTCAAATGGAACATCATGATACAATGACAATGATGAATTTAAACAAATCATGGTGGAATGTATTTATGCATGAATGGCGAAAAAAACAAAATGAATGGATAAAATTATACAATGAAAAAGGTAATTCTTCTTTGAATGAAACAAACTGTGAGGAGGTTAATCATCGAAATCTTGATAATACTGACTTACCATGGTTACCTGATCGATTTATTGAGGAAATGGAGAAAAGAGAGATTTTTCAAATGATTAATATTCAGTAAAAGAAACATTAGTTTTTCCTTCTTCACTCTGTTTAAAGTATAGATAGGCCGAATGATCATTAGTTTTTATGATGTGATCGCTAAATTTTTAATCTGAGAATACAGTTCTAGTAAGTGAATTCTCTGTTGCTAATGAAAACTCGAAATAGTGTGACTTCTCCAATGAAACAATAAACGTTTGAAAACCAATGAGGTATAACGGCAATCTTGGTGCAGTTTAGGTTGCAGGTTGTTATTCCTCACCGACTGACATCATTTGGAGGACCATTAAAAGACTACAGGCACTGGACGGCTGTTTCGTCCTAGTATGGGACTCCTTATCAATGCGCACCCATGAATTTGTTAGGAATGGGACACAGTACCACCAGATTCCACGGTCATCTCATTACCACTGAATCACTGTGTCGAAATCCAACGGTTCCCATTTTCCTACCTCTTTCAGTTTGAGATATAACGCGACGTCCATTCAATACCATTGTCGAGTACTTGTCTTCAAATACGAACTAATTTATCCCACCAGTGACAACTTCGCTTTAGAACTTTGAGAATCTGATCTTGAAATAAGTCACTAATGAGCACCTCTAAACTGAAATTACTCAATAATGACTTGTATTGAGGTAAGATTTCCAAAGTTCTAAAGTCGTACTCAACGATGTCATTGAATGAACGTCGCGCTATATAGCAAACGAACAGAGGTAGGAATGTGTGAACCATTAGATTTCGACATAGTGGCTCCATGGTAATGAGATGACCATGGAACCTGATGATTCCGGGCTCCATCCATGTCAGGTTTATGGGTCCGCATTGTTAAATAATACCATACTAGGATAAAACAACTATCCAGCGCTTGCAGAGTCTTTCAATGGTTATCTAACTGGTGTCAATCCATGATGAATATAAACTTGAGGTCAATAAAATTCTCTCCAAACTCCAATTAAGGTTATATTAAGAACTTGAATGTGCATCACTTATTGACACAGCCACAGGAATTATTATTGAGTTTTTTTTCGGATCGTGACTTGTATCATATAAAAGTGGATTAAGCTTACAAATTAATCTTTATAGACCAGTTATTATCATACGATTTGTACCTGGCTACATATTGAATTCTATCGATAACTTGACATTATGATACATTACATTTGTCCATTTTTAAAGTAATTCGATGAATCCATTGAAAATTTCTCATAAAAATATTTGGTTTATGAGGTATTAGTCTGAGACCCGCTAATTACTGACAGTCTTCTAGGAACTAATGTTTATGGAATCTTGATGATAAGGCTCAAATCAATCGCAGTAATACACATTTCCTAACGATTTATGTATTTCAAAATGTGCTTTTTTTTCCAAATTTCATTAAATTTTTTTCTATCCTCACTCTCCTTTTAGTTGATCACAATTTTATTGTATCTCTTTCCACTTCGTGTTTGTGCAATATTGTAAACTGTTTTAACTTGGAATAATGGATGTTTTCTTTCCAGGGTTCGATGTCTACCTCTCTATATTCTCAGATCGTGATATAATAAAAGAAAGTTACCTAACTGAGTTAATTAAAACAGCTACATAAACCCGTCGAATGGTCCTTGCAATTCTTTAAATAACGAAAAATCCTCACTTCATCACTGAAAAACAAAAAGTGATTACATCGAAAATAATTATCTCTTCGACAACTCATTTTCACAGCTCTGCATTTATAAATGTATCACTAAAATTATAGAATATCCCAGACAAATTGCCGATCAAAGGTAGAACTTAACTGCTAGGTTTATGTAGGAAAAGAAATGATATTACGCAACACAATCTGTGGTCTTTTTAGAAAATGCAGATAAAAAGCAAAATAAAATATAAACAGAGGTACAGAGTACCTGATTATGGCCATGGTAAAGAAAGTGTTTGTAAAAGTTTCTTTTGAATACACAATTCAGGTTTGAAGCTATGAATTGCCAAAGTTTCGGCTGCATATTTTCTAGTCCTAACTTCTTTTGAACGGCTTGGTCGAACTTTGTAGAGAATTATGAACGAGGTTTCTAGAGAAGCTAGATGTCCAGAGATTATGAAATGTTCAGCGATGCAGCTGGACATTGCTCAGTGGCCATCCTACAGCATTTAGGCTGGGTAATATTCGCTAGTGCGTTTTTCAAGTGAGCGCGTAGTCCGGATGACGTGCTGAGCTTCACAGGAGCAAGTGAACTTGCTAATACACATTTATGAGGCCCAACACACCAGCTTGTCTTTCATGCACTGAAGAATCAGCTGTTGGCATAAGAACACAATATGGAAGTTCGTGGAGTACAATTTTCTACTTAGAAACTTCGACAAAAGCTGAAGAAGGATGTCTATGACAATATCACCTTTATAACTGAGATTCATTGAGTATTTCCTTCCGAGTTGTATGAATCTGTTCCATAGTCTTTTCTTTGATATTTTTCTCAATAAATGTGGGCGGGTAGCCACTCTCAAACAGTATTCCTTGAAGAGTTTCTAATTCTTGAACAAGTGTATCACTACCGTATATCTTTCCTACCTTCGTTGAAAGTAAGCGCACAATATTTATCTTCCTAAATAAAGTTACTCAACTTTGAATGTTGATCAGTTATCCGTTCTGAGTGGGCTTCCTGCAGATGTATCTTTGAATTGCATTATCAGGCCTACTCTGGAGTTTGACATCGAGAAAATGAAGTGTCGAGTTTGATTCCGTTTCTAATGTAAATCTGACTGACGGGTGGCTGTCGTTGAAATTTTGAAAGAAGCGTGTCACGTTCAGGTTGTCATCACAAACAATGAAAGTATATTCCATGTACCTTTTTTATACATGAAGATGACCTATTGTTGACTGTAATATGCTATTCTTAAGGCTATCTATGAAGCAATCAGCAAGTATAGGTTCAAGATGAGATCCCACTGCTACACTACCAGTTTATCTGAAGATTTCGTTATTAAGTTTGAACTGAACGTTAGGCGTACATCTTAAGAGAGTTCTTTCAGGTTGTGGTTTGATAGGCCGACACTAGACATTTCTGTTTCCATTTTGTTTTGGATTTTGTCGATTTTTGTGACGTGTTTGTGTATTTATTTCTACCAGATACTGAATCTTACTGTTCACTATATTCTATACAAACTATTCAGATCATGACTTGTGTTACGCAATATCATTCCATTCTCTACATACATGTCAATTAAGTTCTACCTTTGATCGGCAATTTGTCTGGGACATTCTATCATTTTAGTGATACATTTATAAATGCAGAGCTGTGAAAATGAGTTGTCGAAGAGATAATTATTTTCGATGTAATCACTTTTTGTTTCTCAGTGATGAAATGGAAATTTTTGGTTGTTTTGAGTTTATTGGTAAGAACTGCTGAGCCTAAGCTTTTTGTTTGTTAACACTTCTGAGCAGTCTCAAAAAGTAGTGATGCTGGATGAAGATTCTTGTACAATTTTGCAAGGTTCCCCAATTAGTTAAGTGGTACTAATTGATTTATTAATTAACTTTATCTGTTTATCGTCAGGCAAGTGAGCAAACTCAACCTATGGATTTCCCTCATATTTTCCTTTGAAGTTATACAAAAATTTTAATCCATTAGGAAGCTGGTACAGATTTCAGTCTTTTGACTGAACGAATGCTTCTTAGTTGACCTCCTTTAGATATCGAAAATCATTGGCTACAGCTCTTAAGTTATATGACTCAAAATCGATCAAACAGAGATCACGGGGATTTCAGCCACTTGTCTCTTCCCTAAAACTCCACATAGCATATCATATCATATTCATCTACTACTCACTACTCTCCCTGGTATTATTCACTTCTTAAAAAAATCTTCGAAAGAATTTTATGAACAATGAATAACAGTTAGACAGTTATTTAGAAACAATAGGGCACTTAAAAAATGTTTCCTTTTGAATAACGCAATGACAACACTGCTCGCAGGAGGATGAGATAGGAGTTTATTCAACTACATACAATCTTATATGGAGCGTTTTTTTAAAGATACCACACTAAAGTCTCAAAAATCACGAAAACATAATAATTCAGGAAACAAAGGAAGTTCCCTAAGTCCTAGGGAAAGCGAATAGAAGGTGGTGTGGAAGCTTTAGGGGAAACATGTTGCTTGACTTATCACGCACTGGACTTACACACACCGTTGTACTCACTTTCCGTCGGAATACACCTATGAGTGTCAACAGGCTAAAAGGAGCTCTAAGAGAGGTTATCCTTATAGGCGGGAAGTTCCTCAAAGCCATATGTCTCATTGCCATCAGGCTTCTTGCTGCCGATAGCTCGGATGAGGTAGAACAGCTTCCGACTACTGCCAGGTGCAGCTGACGCTCCCATCTTATCACACATTCTGAAAATCAGACCTTCTTGTCAACTTTACTGTTTACATGAAGTCTTTTAAGTGTTACTAACGGTCATCTACACTTACTGCTATTCGAAAACTAGTTGCAAGCAGCTAATTCACTTACATCGACATGTTTCTGACGACAATTTTTGTGACGACCAAAATGCAAACTGAATCTAGCACAAACGAAATTGTGATCAAAGTTCATACAAGTGATCTAGAAGGAGTGAGAGTTCTGAATGTACCAACACCCTCAGTAGCTGGTTGCAATGCGATCTATTTGAGTCCAGTCTTGAGTGGAAGAGGATGGATGGATTTCAATCACCTCAACGGCAATGTCTGTGTTGAAAGTTGGCGTCGGCTGGGAACAGTTTGTGATACGCACAAAGCTGCAGAAGATACTATATATCATCTGACCTCGTACCGACTAATCGCCCTTGGTTACCTACGTAACTTTTTGGGGCCTAGACTCCGGAGCTACCACTACGAAATCTGTCAAGCACAACTGGTGGAGAAGCTTACTCAGTTGATGCTCGAACTTATTCTTATATGCATCCAGTTTAAAGTCAGTCAGCGCATAGGCGGAGATGACGAAGATACATCGTTTACCTTGCAAGTTACTTCTGACTTCTATTGAAACTTCTAAATTATTAGCACACAGACTCATGTTGATGAAGATACAGTCAACCAGTGCAGCTTCGGCTCTGACAATGATTCCAATACCGGAACCAACAAGGTCGGATGATGATCGGAAAAGTGGATGGTAAACAAACTTTTTGATGGAGCAGATGGTGAAGCTATTCAAACCACTTCATTGAGAATTCGTATTCGATTATGTGAAATATAGAAAACATCGATCGTGAGGCTTTACAGAGTTCTAGGAAAACCTGTTTGTTATCCAATATGTATCGAAGTCCGAACGTTAAAGCTGGCCAGCTTAAGTGGCATGAGTGACTTCAGCATCGTTCAGTCATACATCGCACTGAGGAATATGTTTCTGGAAGCAACCATTTAATGACACAAGACAGGACAGACAGATCAAAACTTTAACCGGTGACTGGCGAATGAGTGAAACAGGGATACAGAGAGAGTGGAAAAAGATAGCGAAAAAACAGTACGGTTCATACACGAAAGTGACGAATATATATAGACAATAAGTGGAATGACTGAGCAGAAAGTTCGTTATATTCTGAATTTAGTTTTATGCAAAAAGATTCGCTGAGCGCTTTTTAGCCTTCATTGTTAATTTTCATTCATGAATTGCATATGGGTTGTGATACCGCTGCAACGCACTGATCGAAGCAGGTGGTTATCCTAAGGGACCGGTCTCTGACAATTTCACTCGAATTCCAATCAATAAGGCAGTGGAACAACGCGGGGTGTTGCATTCCTTTGGTTCCTGGTGACCGAAGTAGGTTCATACGCAATCCTTCTGTTTTGGGTCGTAAGACTCATTCGCACCACTAATTTGAAATCAGGGTTTTCTTACTCTCTTAGGTACACCTCTCAAGTACATCAATCTGATTATAACGTTAAAAGTTTACTTTTACTCTCTCACTATTATAAAAACACCAGCTGCTACTCGAAGGCAGAGAGTTCGATTTCCCTGGTGGAGGTTATAAACGCGTAGCCAACGAGAGTATTTCAGAAGGATAACCGGGATCTTCCTACCCTCGATCAAATCAGAACATTAGTCTTCCAGTAACTACTAATAAACTTTCGCTTTAATACTACTTCGGCTGGTCGCACGCCAAATTTTCATCTCACCTTCAATCATCACCCAGTATAAATACTAGTCTGTCAAACTATGGCCATCTCAGATAGTAAAATGATAATCAATATGATGCTCCCCCTCTCTAATTCTGTTAGATTTGGATGAAAAGTTGAACAAAACCCTTGATGATTGAAGTGAAATAAAAATATGGTCAGCAGTCGAACCTCAGTTGGTAGAAAATCGGACCGGAAACCCGTTGGTCAGTAGTTTGAATCCGGCTGCGGTCCAACTTTTGATCTCATCTTCAATCATCACCCAGTATAAATACTACTTCTATTTCGGCTAGTAGTACAAACCGAAGAAAACAGCGGCTCATTGAGTTCAATCACCTCCATTAATTAAGGTTAGGAGAGGGAAGGAAACAACGAAATATTAAAAAAATTAAAATTTATTTATAAAAGATTCAATAAAATCTCTAAAATTATATCAAAAATAAATGAGAATAATTCTATTCCCAAATAAGCATAGTTTTCAATTGTTAAAGTGAAAAATTTGCGCTTGTTTTCTGACTCAATTGATGATTGTTCTTTTCTTGACAATAATTCTTCATCACAGACAAATTGATGGTTATGTTGGTTATTATGATAATGATATTGATAAAAAGTCTCATCAATAGTATTTAATTTGATTGTTAATTGTTCATAAGTTAGTGTGTTGATATTTGCATCGATCTCAGCCTTAAGGTAACTAGTCATTGTAGATTTTAATTCATATATCTGAATTAGTAAAACAAAAACGAAATAGAGAAATTAAAGAATAATTGTGATCAATTTCAAGTTGGTGTTTATCACGAACTGATATCAGTTAAAGGACTGCTGAAAACCTGGAAGTATTGAAAAGGTGTTTTGTTCTGGTAAGGGACTGCCCAACAATGCTTACTCATTATCCCACCAGAAACAGAATCCAGAACCTTCAACCTTTGCGGTGACCATATAACCATTAAATCATAGAATTCTGATCCAGTGGCTCAATGGCTATGTGTTTGATGGTGAAGCCTGAAGGTTATAGATTCGATTCCCGGTGGAGTCATGAGTGCGCACTTCTGGGAGACCCCATATTAGAACGACTGATGACAATCCGTAATGAATATAAACCTGAAATAAATAAATAAATCCTCATAAACCTCCAAATCGATCAATTTCATTGTTGAATAACAAGGTCAAGTGATGTTTTTATATCAAAACGACAGATATACACTATCAATAATGGAAATAACACAACTGTGTATATGTTAACTTTGAACACACTTTTCACGCTAGCAAATTGAAATGATAGTTGGATGCTTGCCTGAACTTCAATATCTTTTCATGAACTTTTTGATACAGTTTAGAATAGATTTTAAACGGTTAGAGGTAACTAGCACAAAGGATTATTCCACCAAGGTTTCGCACTTGTTGACACTCTCCTGGAAGGTATATCTACAACTTCCACAGAAATGATATCTCCTCTAAGATTTCAACCGATATCACCCAGTGCTCCAATGAGAAAAGTCATCACTGAACCTCTTTAGGCATGATTCACATACTGGATTAGACACAGCTACTAGCTCAACGTTCAATAAAATAGTGACTATCGCACCTATACTTTATTTTAACAAAAATGCTTTTCCCACTTGATGAATATTACATTCTAGAAGAAGTTGTAGATCTAAAGATCATTAACATACGAGGCCTTCTTGTATTTGTAGACGCTGAAATGGATTCCAACTTGTCTCTAGTTCAACCAGAAAAAGATATTGGCGCTTCTCAGTGAAGCGTTATGGAGCGGGAGACTCCATTTAACTGCTTTTTTATCGTATGTATGCATTAAGTAAGTGTAACTCGTAGCCCAATGTCATTGTTTATCATAGAACACAAAGAAGACTGGATAAAAGAATATAACTTACTTGTATACTGAAAGTACATTGTGCAGAAGGATTAGGAATAGCATGAACTACTAATAACAAAGGTATTTTTGTAGTAGTATTATCAGTGATGGTAAATTCATCTGGGATATATATTTCTTCAATACCATTACTTACTGACTGAGCCACAATTGAACTGTCCACTAATCGAGTAAAAGTTTCTGTTTTATTCATATGGATATAAGATTGATCCCATGTTAAATTATTCTAACCAATAGGTAAGGGATGCAACAAAATAAAAACGGTCAACAAGTTATAACCAGTAATGAAAATAGCCGACTGTTTGATGAAGAGACCGAAAAGCTGAATAAATATATCACTGAATGACATCAGAGTTACACATTACCAATTTTTTCAGGTCAAATCAAGGTGATTTACACGAAAAATGACTGATTCATTCCATTGAGATAGGGCTCATCAGCCGTGCATATAAGGATGAATTCAAACTGTTAACCACTCCAAGTGAACATAAGTAACATAATATAACCATCAATGATCAAGCAATACTCGAATTGCACCATACATGTTGACGTTTTTGTGGATGAAAAGATTCGCAACTGCTTAAGTGTAATATGGATAAAGTTTAAGAAATTAAACCGTTTTTTAAATCTTACTAATCATACATTTCGTTCGCTATTGATAATTTTATTTCAAACATCACAAAATGAAATCTTGGTTGAATAAGTTCCTAATATTTTCTCGTCAATACAACAGTTGTGCTGTTTAAACACTTAGTTATTGTAACGTTACGCTTAATAACCTCACAGCGAATATGTGAAGGACTGAAGCAAACTTTTCACGCATAAGCATTTACACTAAACGGATAAACTTGATTCCAACCTAGTTGTTTTAGGAACATAACGTAGATGTACAGTAAATTTGACCATTGTATTACGTCAGTGTTAAACACAGGAGGGTTGTAAGGATGTCATTGTCTGATCTTTGTTGTCTGGACGAATTACATTGAATTAGAGTTGATATTCATCATGGACTGACATCAGGTGGAGAAACACTGAAAGCACTGTACAGCATTTCCCTCCTAGTATGGAACTCCTTAGGAGTGCGCACACATGACCTCATCAGAGATTGAACCAGGGCCTCCAGCTTCCGTGGTCACCACGTTACCATAGAGCTACTGAGCCAGAATTTAATGGTCCTACTTGTATCAGTTTAGGCTACATAGTGCCACCTCCATCCAATGACGTCGTTGAGTATCCGGTTCTCAAGTGTTCCACTGGTCACGACTTCTCATTGAAACTTCGAGGAATTTTATCTTGAAGTAAGTCACTAATAAGCAATGGAAAGTAATTCAATTTGGAGGTTTGTGGGGGACTTGATTGATTTAGAGATGGTATTTATCATGAAGTGACATGAGTTGGAGAACCGATGAAAACCTAGAAGTACTGAACACCTATTTCGTCTCCTTAGCAGTGTGCACCCATGATGTCAGTCCGTGATGAACAGCAACTCTAAATCAATAAAAAAAACCACAAACATCCAAACTGAATTACATGGAAGATGTAACTGACCGATCAATTTTTCTTGTTTAAATGAACCAGTAGGAGTTGCATTGGTATGATTGGTCGACGCTGTAGTAGATTTGATTAATAAAACTTACTTCAAGATGACTACAGGTTGGAATTCATCACAGACTGACATCAGTTGGTGGAACACTGGAGATCTAAGAGCACTGTATAGCTGTTTCGTCCTAGCACGGGACTCCTCAGCAGTGAACACCCACGACCCCATCAGGGATACAGTCCAGGACTCTCAGGTTCCGCGACCAGCACGTTAACATTGAGCCACTGGGTCGGAATCCATTGGTTTATATTTCCCATTGCTGTCAGTTCACGAAATATCGAAATACAGGTCGAACAAAAAGACAGGCAGAAAGACAAACAAAAACAACGTAGGACCTCATACGGAAGAGCATCGGTTCAAATTTCCATAATTCACAGTAGTATACAAAGACCGAATGGATCGAAAAAAACTGACATGGAATTAGAGACATAAACGAGAAAAATCAGTCTTCAAGTATAAGCAACCAAAGTTATCTAAAAAGCTGGCACAAACAACTGAGAACATCATAATTTGGGACAGTCAGGATGGCAATCAACCGTGGTTAAACATTGATTCTTACACCTAGGGCAGCTTCAACAAGGGATTCTAAACATTTGAAAAGGAGACCTAACATAATTACCTATTATAAACATTCAGACCATAGGATTACGAATGTCCTGGAAGAAGTTGAGCGCCAAGTCTGATTGGATCATTAGCAGAATATCTGTTAAGGAAGCTGTGGCTTATGCAGCAAAATGTTCCGAAATATCTTATTTCGATTTTCTAAGCATGGTGAGATAACATGGAAATATTTTCTCACCATAATTACCTATTGGTTCAAGTCATCATCACAAAAGGGAATTAAAAACAGCGATTACTGGGAAAGAAAGAAAGACAGAATGATTAGAAATGGAAATAAAACGATGAGATGTAGAAGGTGAAGATTACGATAAGGTGTGGGCGAATCTGCACCAATGTCATAGTCTTTCAGACATATCATTAAAAGGTTCTAGACCATCAGCTCTGGCTGCCTTGCCTCCAACAAAAGAAGCAAGTTAAAAGTTCTCTACCTGGTTCGAATTAATAGGGAGATAGTCCAGTGATTGGCGAAACTGTTATTCCAGTGGTTTACGGAGATGAATAAATCCTAGACGAACCTGTTTTCTATGCATAACTGGCTATGTTTTCCCGGTAGCTCAACACAGAATTGAAGTTATTGCATAAAAGTTTATCAGTTCATGTTGAGAATGATACAGTTAAGTGTAGCCTAAGCCTGAATATCACCAGACCAAGAAGCTGATCAGTTTCCAAGTCCCCTAAATGACCCACCAGCTTAACCTGACGCTGATTAGCTTTACTCCAAATAAATGCAAGAAACCACTACTTCTATCTAGTTTGCAAGTACTACTAACTATTGAGATGGTTTCTAGCTACTCACATCAGTCAGTAATATCTGCAGTGCAGCTCGAAATAGATTCATCTTTAAATACAATTAGACCAAGTTTATTATCAGATGTAAACACAGATTCACCTCTGTAATCCACTGTTGAATAGTATCGAATCCAACTATATACACATCTGGATCCCCTTCAAGTGGGATGAGACGTATCAATAATTGCTGATTACGATGATTTGTTAGATTTAATTGAATTAAATAAACAGATTGTGTGTTCAATATACTAAAAACAAAAAGGATGAAAATAACTATAAATGAAGTGTTTGTTAGAATCAACATTAAATATGAAGGCGGTTTTCAACATGGACTACATCAGCTAAAAAGCCATGAGTTATTTGTATGTGTTTCGTCTTAATTTATCACTCCTCATCAGCAAACAAAGGTGTTTTTATTAAGATCAGTATTTCAACAAAATCTCACTTCAAAAATGCATCAAATGGAACAACACATCAACATGATGAATATACAGAAGTAGTAGAGAGAATGAGAAAGTAGTACAACGATCACAGGAAGCAGTCTCACAAGATGCATCCAAAGCAGTCTCGATCATTTCTTAATAATAGAAGCTATAAGAGCCTAAAACAAAAACACCGTTGGTTTCTATTCTAAAACGTATATGATAATATTTCAAGACACTGAATTGTATGATCCCTTTAGACTCCACTCAAGGAGGCAAGGTGTATTAGCAAATGCTTATCCTGCAAGACTGTCCTTCATCTGAAGACACTATATCATGACCTGACCACAACTTTGCTTTCCTAACTAATTGTGAAGTGACTGCACAGTGAACAGAATGTCGGACGCTGAGACGAAGTGTGTTAGATGTTTTCAAACTGCTGCAGCTAGTGTTTCAAAATGACTATTTATTCAATGGCAATTTTCTTTGTCCCCAAAGACACACTGTCGGTTGGTTCTCAGAAGTGACTGTATCATGTTGACACCTAATTTAAGTGACCCTAAAACGGCAACATTAATTATGTATACAGAGCTATCAGACATCAACCCAAAGACTCGATGATTGACAAAGACCGTTTCGACTTCTATTATACAATAAACAGTCATTTTCCATGCTTCTACCACCACCCTCAGTGATCCGAGTACACAATTTTTTTTCGGTCCAGACACATATTACAGAAAATCTTACAAAAGTACTCACCGTCACAACGGTGAATAACTATACGAACTAAAGCTGACCGTAAAATGACTAAGCGTAATTTAACTGGCCTGCATATTATTGCATAACTAAAAGGATATCTTCGACATAACTAAAAATAAAAACTGTTTCTCTGGGTACTATATGTATGCCAGTACAGCTCAGTGTACTCGAAACTGATGGTTGGGCTACCAAGTTACGTTAGCAGGAACAAAGGCGGGGTGCAAACACCTTCCATCAAAATTAGTTACAATGGAAGATTGAACAACTGGGTGATCAACAGGTGGAAAATCTCCTCTTGTGATTTTCTTTGCAAGATAACGTGCTAAACTCAGCAGCAAATATGCACTGGTAAGCGAGAGTCAGGTAGGGAGATAGATAAAAATCAACATAGAACCTCGCACACAAGTGCAACGGTTCAACTTGCCACACTTCACAGTAGCATCCAAAGAACAAATGGATAGAAAAAGACTGATATGAAGGCAAGCAAAGGTGTAAGGGAGGAGAAGAAATTTAAAAATAAAGATTAATCAAAGCATTCAAGCTTTGGAAGATATTAAAGAGTCAATACATTTGAACCCTTATGACCGATTTTCAGCTATGTCATTAGGAGTCTATAACCACTGATTATCATCCTCTCGAGAACCCCAACTGGCAGTCTATACCTCCTTATGTTGTTCAGATCAACAATCAGAGACTTTATGCACCGATACTGTCTTGGTCTGGCCACCCTGAGCCATCTTCCAACTTGATCCAACGTTTCCCAGCATTGTGATTCGAAGTGAGCGGTGGCCTGGTATGCGCAACATATATCCAAGCGACTTCAATAGCTGAAGGTTCTCAACCTCATCAACTGACTTGCCTGTTTTGCCTAGTACGTTTTATCTGATTTCAACACCGTTCACATGGTGATTCCACGAAACGTGAGCAATGTTATGAAGACATATATGGTCAAAAATATGTAACCGTCTCATATCTTCCATTTTTAATGATCATGTTTCTTAGCCGTATATCAAAACAGAACGAACTTCAGCGCAGTATACTCGTCTTTTAATACATAGTTGGATATATCCCGTGCGTCAGAGATGATGCAAGTTGGCAAATACTAGACGGGAAAAAGTGAATGTTATGAATGACTGGAATTCACTTACACCTATAGGAATTCGAATGGTTTCAAAATATATCGACTCAAAATACGTGAGATAATTCTACATTAGATTAGTTTATTTGATGCAGTACACAATGATACAAAAACTCAATGTATGACATTTCGTGCACAATACAAAAGTAAGTACACAACATCTTAGATTGATTTCTATAATTCCACTGACTTTCTTTCTTTCATTTTATTAACAGTTGGGTTTTCTACATATCTAGGGCTGATTTTGAATCATTCCTACTACACATTAGTTGATCAGCCCAACGACATCAATCTTCAGGGTCGTTACAATGCCTCGCTTTACTCTGTGGTTGTGTTTGACGCAAGAATGACAACTGCCGAATCCTTCTCTGGATTACTTGACTTGGTAGGGTCTATCATCCTAGATTTGATTTCTGCACTCTGATAAACTGACTGATCTTGGTGGGCTGGTTTTACCTATGTATTCGGTATTGCAGTCATTACACAGCATTGATAGAGTATATTATTTCGCTTGATTAAGTCAGTAGAATCCGTAGGCAGATAAAGTGAATCTCTCAGTTTGAACGTCTGAATTCCACCTTCATTGAAAGCTACTACTATGAAGTGTGGTAATCTGAAACGATACACTTCTATGATAGGTTCTACGTGCATCACTGTGTGTTACATCGGATAAACGAATCTAATTTCGAATTTACATTGTACCGAGTCCTTTTACTCAGTAGTCTAAGGTAATTTTGACGTGCGGTTGACAAGCTTATTCCTAAAAGAAAAATAAATCTTCTATTCTGTATTCAAAATACACAAACCAGACATCTCTCTACGACCAATTGTTTCACTTCCAGGAACTCCAACATACAACATATCAAGAGAACCTTCGAGAAAACTGAAACACCTCGTTCAATCATGCAAACATTCAACGGAATTCTTAGAAAAGATCAAAAGCATTAACATAGAAAACGACAAATTAATGGTATCTTTCGACGTCACAGCACTATACACATCCATCGAACTCCAGTTGGCCAAGGAAACTATCTCGCTTCTGCCCAATGAAGACACAAGCCTTACAGAACGCACAAAACTTAAATGTTCAAGTCTGATGGAACTCATCGACCTTTGTCTGACAACATACTTCCAATTCAACGGCAAGATATACAAATAGATAAAAGGAACTCCTATGGGATCACCGATATCTGGACTAATTGCAGAAGCAGTGATGCAGAGACTGGAAGCCATCATCCTACCTGTGAACAAACCAAAATTCTGGATTATCTATGTGGACGACACTTTTGTCATCGTTAAAAAAAGATGGTATAAAAAACACCCACAGTTTGATCAACAACGTTTTCAGTGACATCAAGTTCACAATGGAGAAGGAGTCAAACAACCAACTACCATTCCTGGATGTTCTGGTCAATAGAACAAATACGGGGAAGCTGGAAACCCAAGTGTACAACAAGCCAACACACACTGACCAAGTCCTCAACTACAGTAGCAACAACCCACAAGATCAGTTGCATGCAGACTCTATTCAGAAGAGCGAGAACACACTGCAGTATAACAACTTCATGGAGAAACGAAGAAAATTACTTGATGTCCATCCTAAAGAAGAACGGCTACCCACGAAACTTTATCAGAAGATGCCTATCCCGTACATCATCAACTACAAAGTCATCCACAGAAATCAATAAACGCATCATTCTACCACACATAAAGAATATATCATAAATCATGACAAGATTACTGAGACCACTTGGAATTGGTGTGGCTCATAAACCAACAAATTCCCTCCAAACACTATTATCCAGACCAAAGGATGCGACAACCAAAGAAAACAAACCGAATATCATTTACAAAATCAACTGCAATAACTGTAGTCAAAGTGGTCGCCGTCTTCGCCTTCGTCATTTACATGAACACCAATTGGCTATTAAACGTCACGACATTTCGTCACTCATTTCATTGTACGTGGATAACTATGGATATGAATTCAATTTCGACAATGTAGAAATTTTGGACAGAGGAAACACAAAGAATATCAGAGAATTCCGAAAAGCTTGACATTCAGGTCAGTCAGCAATCAACAGATGTATAGATAGATATAGACCCAATCTATCAACCAATGAGAAAAATGGTAAACGGCAGAAAGGTCAGAGGTTAAGCAGAGCGATAGCCAACAGGAAAATATATGCAGTCAGTCAATGACACAGCAATCAAAGGAAACAACCAATCACAGACCACTTCGTCAAGGCAATCTATTAAATCACCCACGGAGAGATATTGACAGCTCACTTTATACTGAAGTTAGTGCTGATGATGTCGTCTCGAAGGATGATGAAAGCTTCACCATTAAACAACCCAGCTCAGAGAACACAATACAACCAAGATCATCCACCTGAGTTACAAATATTCTCCAGTATTCAAATCCCCTACATATGTGACAAGAATGCACAGCCTTTTATCCCTAGTACATATCTCAACACTTTACTACCCAAAAATAAATCAGAAACAAATACTGCTTCACTTTTTGAAAAATAATACAAATACCTTCCAATTTCTTCATATATCAAGCGGCCTGGTGAATGAATAGTTCTTCGATAAGTGTAAATATTCACCAAATTATTTATGATGCATACAGTCAAGATGGCGGCAATCACTGAAACGGTTGTCAGTAAAATCTGTAATATTATTTATTCTGATTGAAAAAATGAACACAACTAACAATATTTATTAAACGAAAGCATCTTGATAAAAGATTCGCTGAAGGAGACATTTTACTTTTAGTGACAAAGTGAAGTTCTGAAATATAAATAAAGAAATCCTGTTCAGTATATATTGAAACATTCAACACAAAGAAATGTACGCATTCATATGCTCTCATTAGCTAAATGCGGATAAGTTGCGTATAGTAAGTTGGATGGGCTAATAACACACACACACACACACACAGAGAAAGTGGCAGAGAATTGTATCGGCACCAATTGACACAATTTGCAGCAGCATAGTAAAAAGTTAATAAAAAAGACATAACCAAATTTGATATGACGATTAGGATGAAGATGATGTTTGCTTGAGACTAAGATATTGCAATTAATTCTCAGCAATAGCGTACAGTATTCGAAAACGGTTGTCTCATCAACTGTAACCACGAATTCTTCATTCCCCGAGATAGTTCAGATTAACAGTCAAAGACTTCATGACATTACCTTAAAGTCTGATCACCTTTAATCATTTCCAATCATAACCTGATTCAGGTAACATTGAGCATTGGAGTGAATAGAGACACGCTTTATCAACCTCAGCCGATGAAGGTTTAAGATCGTATCAACTGGCTTACCTCTCTTCCCTAAAACTCTACACCTAACCTCAGTGTACTAAGGCAGTGGTTACATGACACACTGCTAACGCTATGAACAGAATCATTGTTTAATATGTTTGAAACTCTCACCGCGTCCACCATCAAATTTCGTCCAACGGGATAGATAGTAATAATAATTCACTTTATTCCAAACAGTTTGTGGTACAATTTAGAATTGATGTATTTATGTTGGTGACTAGCAGTGAAATTCAGGACGAGCGTTTCTTCCTACATGGGACTCGTCAGCTGAATGTACCGGCGCCCCCAGTTAGGTCAAGCAACTCGACCCTACATAGCAACGGGAAATCACAAGTATCAATAAATAATAACTACCAGTACCCGTTCCATAAAAGGTGGCCCTAGTGCCCCGGAGGATAACGCTTTGACGTTCAAAACGGTGGGTACTTGGTCCGAGTCTTACTAGGAACAATATTGTTCACTGGGGTGCAGGTGCAAGAGCATTAAGTCCGATAAACTCTTTTCATTTCCTCTTTGAAAGGCAGACAAAGGGAAAACTGCGTACAAGAAGACAGGCTGCTTAGTGTCTGACAAGTGCACGTATAAAAAATTCAAGCATCCGTCAATGACGGCATCAATCAGTTGAGTCAGGGGTAAACAACTAACCCCGTTGATAACCTTCAAAGTCCTAAACAATGAAGAATAGGCCTTTCCCGATTGTCCAGATAAAAAGGATAGGCAGAGTAGAGGAAGTGATTACTACGTTTTTTCAACAACTCGCAGATGCCTTGCATAGAAGTGTAAACGAGCTGCTTTTTAGAAATCAACAAGATATGGGTATATATGAGTGATGGATAGTGGCTAGCTGTGAAGTTTATCCCCAAGTTCGAGTCCCGGTGGGAACAATATCACTCACTGGGAGGCAGGCACATCTAGCTGACGAGTCCCAAATACGACGAAACGTACGTCCTGGATTCCACTGCTAGTCACTATCTATGATTAATATATAATTAGAACGCAGGCAATATCTGGGCATCCGCGCTGGAGCGCATATGCCAATAGAGACCGATCACTTCGGTCCAATCAACAACGCGATAATACAAGCAACAATACTAAGGTATGGGAATGTTCGTATAACCTCACAAGCTATCTCAGTGACCACGAAAGTCCCGTGAATAGATAGTATATTAGGGTCCACAGAAGTATGACTACTAGTAGTAGAGGGACGTTTGATTTGACTACAAAGGGCATATCGCCGCAATTATAGACAAGGAAGGCCACAGAATTCAGAAGACTAGCTTTCCTAGACTGCAGGGTCATGCGAAACAATAGCGGGAGACTTGACATTGATGTCTATCGAAAAGATACACATTCTAACAAGTACCTTGACTTCGATTCAGCTCACCCACTGGAAACTAAGTTAAACGTTACTAAAACCTGTTGACGAGATCACAAAGGATACCAAATAAAGTGGAATCTCAGCAAGCAGACAGACAACTTGTTCAGGAAGTCTCAAAACAAAACAACTATCCAGAAAAGCTATTAAAAAGGATAGAAAAAAGTTTATCGAAGAAAGACACGGAAAACCAAGCCATACAGATAAGTACCATGGTACTTTTTTATCGAACATACACATCAGAGGAAATAAGACGTATCCTTAACAGTTGCAACATCAGAGTATTCTTTAGTGACGAACACATTGCACTCACACCTATGTAAACTAAAAGATCCGATTCCCCAATTGCAAGAAGACAACTGTGTTTATAAAGTAGAGTGTAATGAATACGATGCTACATGCATTAGAGAGATATCACGTCAAGTACTAACACGTCTGTCTAACCGAACACGGTCGAAGTGGCAATAAACCACCGAAAAATCCCTATGATCAGGAAAAACTTGGAAAAAGCTGTGCCATCGCGACTCATGCCTTATATTCAGGTCATAAAATATTATTCGAAAAGGCAAAAGTCTTTCAAAAGGGTTTTATCTTTCTCACAAAGAGCGGGTCATTGCAGAAGCTTTGCACATCTGTTCGTATCCTTCTTCGGTCAACAGAAAATATGGTTTAGACATCCTACAAATATGGCAGACGTTAATGACTCGCATAGACAGTTGCATATAATATATGAAGAGAAGGTAAAACACAACTTTATTTTACCGTATCCACATGACTTATTCCGAATTTATTCATGTTTGAATAGTTCCGGGTGTTATTTTACTTAATCCCGTCAAAAAATATTGGCTGTATTTTAACAACTTTATTGATCTACTATTTTCACCATTTTTACGCTCCTGCCTAAGTTACACATATTCGATGAACCATTCTATACATTATATAATCCATTTTATCATTTATACTTCAACTGTTATCAAAAGTACATTTTACGTTTTCCCTATTATTATCACCATTATTAGTTATTATATATTGTTCAAATATTCATCTTTCTAAATGGTTATCTATTCTTTCTCACCACTGATGACTCACAACCCCATTGTACTTCATATAGTTGAACTAAATTTCCCCACCCTATTTTTGTTCCATCCTACTTGCACAACTGAAAAAAGCCTGTCTGACCGATTTGCTAATTCATTCACCTGCATTCCATTGACATCCTTTCCATATGATCTGTACCAGAACTTGAATATTAACCTTAAAACTTCGTACTCTTGAAAAGGATCCTCCTAGCAAGATCAAAACGTTAAGGAATAATACAAAATATTTGCTCATTTTGTCATTTGTTCTAATGTACTATGCCAAGATTACACAAGTAAAAATACACCTTATAAGGATAAAGCGGGTGTACCAATTTCGAGTACGAAGAACGGCAAGTCGAAAATAATTTTCTTGAGAACCCTTCGTAATTGATCCTTCAGGATTCCTTATTTGAACGAAGAATGTATTAGACACAGCACCTAGTTAACTTCCATAATTGATCCTTTCAACGTCTAGGCAAAGACAGCAATTCTTGGTTGTATTGTGCTCTATGAGCTGCGTTGTTTGATCGTGAACCTTTTCATCGTCTTTCTAGACATCATCAGCACCAACCTCAGTATGAGGTGGTGATGACGTCGTCCAGAAAGACGATAAAAGTTTCACGATTAAACAACCCAGCTAAGAGAACACAATACAAACAAGACCATCCACCTGACCTACAAATATTCTCCATTATTTCAAAGACAGCAACTTTCTACATGCCTTGAATAAAACCTAATCATTGTTCAATATTTGTCCTTTGGGCTCCTAGCAAACATACGGCTTCAGTAGCACGTCCCCATTTCACTATCTTCTCTCCAGTCGTAACGCGCCAAGTCCCTCAACTATATAGAAGCACTGACTCGACTGAACTAGTGCTGAAAATCCAGATGTTGTTCACGCTTTATGCTGAGTGGAGTGCAGTGCAGTGCAGTAGATCTCCACACTGGTTTCAGATTAATGAAGGCCCGTCTCGCTGACTTCCCGATCCTGGCTTTGACATCTTCACCTATGTCGTCTGTAGTTGAAACGATCCTGCCTTGCTTAGGTAGGTGTAGGTGAAAGAGACTACTTCCTTTAGGTTTCTCCCCCTGATGGTGATTGGTGCCTCTTGTTGTTGATGCTGTTAGTGGTTAGGTATCTTCATCACCTCTGTCTTCTCTACGTTCACCTGAAAGAAGTCCCGTCTTCGCTGCTTCGCCTCTTCTATCAACTTGTTTGCCTTCGCCTGTAGATCTTCGAGTTTGTGCGACACAAGACAGAAATCATCATCAGTGAAATCCAAATCTCCTCGGGCCTTTTCATTGGTCCAGTCAGCGTATGCCCGTCTTCTCGCTCCTCACGGTTTGCTGAGTGATTCAGTCGACCACAATCAGGAAGATTATCAGTGATAGTAGGCGGAAGCCTCATCTTATTCATGTCTTCATTTCAAAGGCGTGACTGAGGTTTCCACTGTGAATCACTCAGCATGTGGCGTCTTCAGATAGCATACAGCTGTTGAATGAGATTGATAAAACCTAATTGATCACTCGAAAACACCTGTTGACTTCTATTTACAGTATCATGGAATCGTTCTTATGTACTGGTCCTTAATTGCTTGTACTCATCAGCCATATATATATATATATATATATATATATATATATATATATATATATATATATATATATAAATTCATGTTCTCTACGAGGCTTAACTAAACACGATTCATCCAGCATTACAGCCAGAACTACTACCGATGAAGCCTACAATCAATCAAACCATATTTCGCAAACCAACACAAAAAACCCAGCTACTAGGCAGATTAAACTATGTTACGAATGACAGAGGAGATCACTCCTTAAACACTATGGAAATTAAATAGCCAAGTAGTTTGAAGTCAATAATACAGCAAAGACATCAGAAATTCACAGAAACGTTTATTCTGAAAAACGGTGTATAGAAAAAATTTTTGAGGGGGTTGCGGAGATTTGGAAATATTTCAAGTTGTTATTCATCGAAGACTGACATCAGTTGGAGGAACAAAGGAAACCTGGGAGCACTGGACAGCTGTTTCGTCCTAGTTAATTGAACTGATGCTCATTGGTGACTAGCTTCGAGAAGTATTCCCGAAGTTCCAATGACAAGTTGTGACCGGTGGAGTCAAAGCCTGATGGCCGTGAGGACAGATACTCAACGATGACATTGGGTGGCGGTTCGCGCTATATCGTGAGCTAACAGAAGTTGGAAATATGGAGCATTGGATTCTGACCCAGTGGCTCAATGGTAACGCGCTGGCCGCGGAACCTGAAGGTCGCGGGTTCGATCCCTGCTGGTGGGGTCGTGGGTGCGCACTGCTGAGGAGTCCCATACTAGGACGAAACAGCTGTCCAGTGCTCCCAGGTTTCCTTTGTTCCTCCAACTGATGTCAGTCTTCGATGAATAACAACTTGAAGTATAGAAAAAAGTGAAAAATTGTTTCACTAAGGAAATTTGTACTCTCAAAACTTCAAGATACATTAGTGGATAGGAAGAACGTAATCATCACATAGAAATGCTCTTGTAAGACCTTATATTCATAGCCTCTTTCAACGCAGTTCAACTTCAGTGTAGGAAAAGTGTTCCCATATAAGGTTTAAGGGATAAAGTGAATATTCAATGCTTACTACCGAGCTGGTGGATACAGATTATGGAAAAAGTTGGTCAGATACACTTTAGAATCTAAAAAAAGTAGCAATCATGTTATAGCGTTACTGTTTTTTGTTATCAGAAGGTAAAATGAAAGTAATAAACACTTCTTTAAATGCATCTTTAGAACAGTATCTATGGTAATCCGTGTGCTTTTCTTCGGTGCTATTTTACCTCTACACCACTTTTGTGCCTTCATAATGTTATTCCCGTCTTGGTCGGGGCTTCATGTTGAGAATTCCAAATTGTACCGAAAACTGTTTGGAATAAAGTGAATACTAGTATTATCATTTCTTAGTGCTTATGCTATACTAAGCAGAAGTTTAAAATAAAGATAATAAATTTCGCGCTTGACACACAGATTAAAGTAAAACAATTCTGCAAATCAAACATCTGTATTTTAGAAACAAAATTCACATCATCAGCATCAATAGTTAAATCAGTAGCTAAAGAAATCGGAGAATAAACCAACACATAAAGAAAATAATGCACACAAATATAAGTAAATAACAATATAAGCCGGAGGATAGATTTTGTTTAGCCATTCGGGATAATCGAGACATTGTAGATCGTAGAACACCTTCTGAATGATCGAATGTTCCAGCCATATCTCCAAGCAAATTATTCTGAGATCGTAATTCATCTCCTATTTTAATTGAAAGACTACGCAGTCCATTGACTTTCTCTTTTAGTTCTAAGTCAAAACGTTCATGATCATCGTAGGCAGGTTTTGATCGGTAGTCATAATTACTGCTAGCCCAGTTTCTAGATGTGTCAAGTCTCTGTGAAGAATCAGCATGCCTATCGTGAGTAGTTCGGAAATTATTAGAGTTGGAATACATTCGCTAGGTGGCACGTCAGATCCATTTAGTTCAATACATAAAATAGTAGTCGAAAGACCTGTAAAATCCAAAGTTAACTCAATAGTTAAAAAGCGAAACAGTAACGATTATTACTGGCAAGTAAGAAAGGAGATAAATTAAAAGAGGTTCGTTAGAAAAACTGCTTATACTGCGGTTACCAAGCTGTGATAAAGTAATGAAGAGAACTATCGACAACAAAATCAAGGGTAATAAATGCACTTTAGGTCTACCTGCAAACACTACACTAACCAAAATACATGGTCCCCTTTTACGTGAAAGTCAATACTGACACCAAAAATATGTATTACTACTATTATCATTATTATTATTTGTCCTTTGGGTTCCTAGTAAACATACGGCTTCAGTAGCACGTCCCCATTTCACTATCTTCTCTCCAGTCTTTTCAACCTGGCTCCACCACTGCCCACAAGCTTCCATTTCTTCCTCACATCATCTCCTCCATCTCACCCTCACCTCAGACGCCCAACTCGTCCTTTCCTATTCGGACTCCACTCGACGGCACGGTCTGGCACGTGATGTCCCAAATCCGTCTTATCAGTGTATGTCCAATCCAATCCATCTCCACTTTCTTCTGCTGCATATTTCCTGGACGATGGGTTCTTGGTTAGTTCGTTGCCAGCCAGTCAGCTAGCCAGAGTTCCTCCTTGCTTATTCTTATTATTCTGGACATCTGATCTCCAGTATCGGTCAGCGTAGGCAGCTGTTGATGAATGTCTGTAGTTTGCTGGAAATGCTTTACGTGACGCGCCAAGTCTCTCAACCATATAAAAGCACTGACTCGACTGAATTAGTGTTAAAAATTCAGATCGGATGCTTTCCCAGATTTCACTTCACTTCTTTGTCGAGTTTAGTGTTTTACAGGTTGTGTTCAGTTCCTCTTTTCAGTGTTCATCCCTGCACTTCACTGCACTTGTTCATCTTCAGCTTCACTGCCTTTCTCTCCCTGCTCTATCAGCTTCCATGTGTCCATCGAGATCCATTCCTTTTCTTGTTTCTTCTTCATCCCTAGCACGGTTATGCAGGTTTCCTTCCACCTCGCTTTCAAACAGTCCCAGTGTTCTTCCATGCGGGTTCCTTCAGGAATGCTGCTTAGTGTCTCCCACTTTGTCTTGATGTCTGACGTGAAGATGTCCTTTGTAGTTTCGTCCTCCATTTTCTGTCCTGGTGTTCAACTTCAACTGTGGTCTATCATCACCAACTTCTGTGAAGGCTTTCAACTTGATTTTGAAAGTAGGTTCCTTGTACTAGATAGTGGTGTGTGGTGTGAACCTACATCTGCTCCTCTTCGTGATCTGATCTTGTGTTCAGTAGGCTGCGTCTCCATCTCCACTTTCTTCACATTGAGATGAAGTCTATCTGATTTTTAGTGTCCTGGTGTCTGGTGAAATCCATGTCGCTTTGTGAATATCCTTGTGTTTGTACACACTTCGCCCTATCACCAAATCGTTGAATGCACAGAAGTCTGCAAACAGTTCTCCATTCTCATTCATCATTTCACCAACTGCCTCTCGACCCATGATTGGTTTTCTTCCTGTGTTGTCTGCTTCTAGTTTGGCATTCATGTCACCCATTAGAATTCTGATGTCACCATCTGGGGCAGTGTATTATTCAGCACTGATTGCAGTTGTCTGTAGAATTCCTCCTGCTTCTCTTCATCTGCATTATTTGTAGGTGCATAGCATAGCGTAGCATTGTATGATTGTGACTCTCCTTCCTTTTGAGTTGAATCTTGCTGTTGTGATCCTGACCGTGGATGCGATTGGTTCCCACTGCATGAGAGAGAGCTTTCGATGCTGTTGGGGACATCATGATCGCCACTGGTAAACTCAGTGTGCTGTGTTCATGGTTGCCGTGTAGGTGACAATATTGGAGTAGATTGTTGACTTTCCAGTTGATAGTTTGGAGAGTCCACTTCCATTTCATTTGCTCTTGCAGATTCCGAGCCTAGCACATCTATGCCAAACCTTCTTATCTCTTTGGCAATCTGGGCAACCTTGCCAGTCAGCTTCAAACATTGTTCGGACATTCTGTGTCCCTATGCTTACTTTCGCTTTCATCAAGAGAGAGAAAACACATCGGCCAATCGGCTTCCTGAAGGCTTTCACCAACTGGCGTCATTTCGTCTCCCCGACTCCAGCGAGGAATAAGTTTTTTTATTTTTAATATTTTCTTTGTCCTTTGGAGTTTCTTTAGCGATTGAATTGGTTTTCCGGGATAGGTTTGCTAGTCCTATGCCCAACCTTCCTTCTTTATACGGGTTTAGGATCGGTTGGTAACTAGTGAACTAGTTACATAGGCGAGAATAGCCACTAGAGAGCAGTAACAAGTGTAACATTGTTACAATATAGCTTAAGAAGTAAAGTTAATCAACTAATTATCACAAAACGCGAAACAGACAATGTGCTTACCACCCAGATTTCTCCTTAGTCTAAAAGATAGGATTAGATATACTAATTGGTTGTAGAACTACATGAAGTAGAGACAAGAGTGTGAAAACTAAGCAGTTCTTATGCAGCTATGAAAACAACGAAAAGCAGATAATTTGACACTGTCTTGGTATAGAGTTGAAAAAATCATCAATGATCATTAAGTGGATGGCATTTTCAGTTTATGTTATTGGTAAGCATCAAGTTGACTACCATTCACTCACATAGTTCATTCATATCCCCTTTCAAATAGACCAAGATACCATTATCGTCTAAGGTAGCCAAGAATTTAAAATCATTTAAACACCTAAGGTTGAATAAGAATATTTTTTCCAATCAGTTAGATATTATGTGTTTTTCTTAGAACTATTTAATTGTTTTTTATGCCCTGTGTTACTCATCCAAAAAATTCTGGGGAATGAAAAGCACAGAAATACACCCGCATACTGAAATGAATGAAATGATTCTTTTAGTACAGCTATTCAGTCAACCGTGGTATATTATTCTCGTTGTTTACTTAAAACTTTTATATGCTGCGAGATAAGTGTCTTCAGGTTTGTCGATATCCCTGCAGTTTGAAAACAAAATACATACAGGATATATGTTTGGCATGTACTGCGCATGCTGAGCCACCACCTATTTCGACATGCAGTGTTAAGCAAAGCCGGACTACATTAGAATAAGCTTCAGGATGGCCAGACCAAGACAGCATCGATGCCTGAAGTCTCTGACTGTTGGTCTGAACCATGCAGGGAGCTATAAACTGTCTGCTTGTGGTCCTCGAGAAGATAGGAATCGGCTGTCACGGACCCTTGGAGACAGCTAAAAATCGGTCATAAATGTTCAAATGTGGTGACTCTTCAATCTCTTTTAAAGCTTGAATATTCACACTCAGTGTTATCTTCAGATTTTTTATTCTTTTATACAACTTCTACTTTGATATCACTCTTCTTCTACCCATCTGTTCGTGGCAAACTACTGTGAATTTAGGCAATTCAAATCGGTGCTCTTCAATATGAGGTTCTACGTTGATTTTGTCTGTCGATCTGATATTCATTCGATTACTGGTCTCGGATACACAATCTACCAGTAGCCTAGACATCAAGATATCCTATTATTTCACCGTGGTGACATTCTTTAACTCGGACTCGTAATCTAATAATTTTTTTAACATTATTTATCATTTAGAGAAAATCGAAGATTATCACTCACCATATATCTTAGTACGCGATTCTTTAACACCACATACAGACGCGAAGTTGGCGCTCTAATGCTTTTAGAACTTCCTACTACTTTTGATTACCTTCCTAATTACTTTTCTATGTTTCATATGGGTGCCTTCTATCTTGATGTGCTGATGAGAAGTGTAATAAACTTCAACTTTCATGCAGTAATACCAGGTCCCATATTGTTACTGACCTAGATGAAGAGACTGACCGAATGACTTTCTAATATCAGAAAGTGAGTTTTTCTGTGTAAATGTTATTTGGAACATCGTTCGTAAAATTGGTCTCTTATCTTTACGAATAACATTTACTTCGTTGGTCGTTAGGTTATACTGGTTACGACGTTCTTTCCAATCGCTGTTACATGAAATATATTGTACATCTTTCATATTTGTACATACTTTTGTCAACTACACAATGCATTCTTTACGGTGCCTGGTCGAAGTTCTTAGGATTGAGTATTTAATAACGTACTGATGACTTGAAATCGAGTAGTGGTGTGAATTTACTCACATATCACTCGAATTTATGAACACTTTATGTGCCTTCTAATTGTAAACTGTTTTGGTTTCTCTGTTTATGATGCATGCCAGTTTGCGAAACTGCGGTTGGGAACAAGAATACCAATACGATTGAACTTTTTACATGTTTGTTTACTGCTCCACAAACCACATCTGTTTGGAGCACAGGCTAAAGAGTAGCGTGAAAGCACTCACAAAAATACGTCTACTCATGTGGAGAGATAAAATCAATGCGGAACCTCGCACATAAGTGCAGTGGTTCAAGTTGCCACACTTCACAGTATATTAAGTGGGCAGGAAAAGTGATATCAAAGTAGACAAACGTGTGCGGGGAGGGGGGGAGAGAAGAGAAAAAGTAGAACTAAAAGTTAGTGCGAACATTCAAGCACACACATTCAACACACTGTAAATACATGACTCGAGATTCCATGGTTCTGATGAAGTACGCTTGCTGTTCGATTTGGCATAGAGTTTAGGCTAGTGTTGGGTTCTCATTTGCAGTTCTTACCTGTCCACTATATGATTGTGAAGAAAGATATTTGAAGGTGAAGTTCATGAGAAACCTTTAGGTGGTCGACTCCTATTGCCTGCGTAGCATAGTTTCTATCGTGGTAGCAACACATGAGTAATGCAGAATTCAGGCGTAGAGTTTTTGAGAAAAGAGGTTAGTCAGTAGGTTTGGTCGTGAATCTTTCTCGACCCCTATCATCTCGTGGCATGTCTATGCTTGCAACAAGGAGTTATAGTCGGATCCAAATCAAAAAGATAACTTCTCAGGACTGGTGGCTGGTTGGAGACCCTAGGTGATATGGCTCAGAACCGAAGTCAGTGGCGCAGATGTATACACACATTATCCTCATCTTAACAACGTTATACCGAATCTCACTATTTTGTCACTCCTCTTTCCTTTCTTCTCGTACTTTATATTTCTTTTGACTGCATTCACTTATTTTCATCCTTCACCTCACTGACTTTTTACTTGGTGTGCTGATATGAGGTGTGGCAACTCGGACCGTTACGCAGTAATGCCTGGTCCTATGTTGATAATGATGATGATGATGATGAATATCAGAAAGAGTAGAATTAACGTAGGCATCACCACATTTTTAATGTGATGACTTATTATGCTATCCGACTGCCTAGAGTGAAGTAAATCAAGAGGGACTTTAATCAATGATTCACTGTTAGTGTCACGTCCTTAACTCAATGAATCACATCAATAGTTAGAGGACTGAAAAATCTGAGAAGCTTTCGGCAAAACATAGATATCAGACTTGTGAAAAAAAGTAAACTACACTTGAACAACATAAAATTTCATGGAGAATGAACACTGAAGATTAGTCGACACAACTATTTCATGTCTAGATTTAGGCTTGTACACCTAAAATCAACAACTTCAGCCAATGTAAATGAAGACACGAGCGAAAATACAGACTAACAGAAAAGGGAACAAACTGGCAGAAAAACTGCCACACTTCATAACATCACACAAAGTAGCACTTATTAACATGCTCACACGTATTTAGTTAAAGAACCCGTAACCCACTAGTTAGAAGTCGAGTACTTAAACCAATGAGCTGCAACTCCTGCTTAGCCTTACTTCAGCTAACATTATGGCGTTGAGATAAACAGTGACTCAGCATGCATGATCTATATACCCTAACCATACGGATGGACGGAGTTTCACAACCTCATCAACTGACTTTCCCTCTTCACCTATGACTACACATCTAACCTCTACACTAGTAACAATGTTTCTGCGACACGTAATTATGCTTTTAGGGCAATGCTGATGGAACACCTGGAGCCTCCTAGTGTTCTTCACTTCTGATAGGTTTGTTTTACAACGACAAAGAAACAGACAAATAAAAGTAGAACCTAGAGCATACGAAAATCGGTTTAAGTTGTCAGATTTCACAGTAAAATGCAAAGTAGTGGATAAGATGACATAAAAGTTGACAAGTGTATGACAATACGGGGATGATAAATAAATGAAAGTTCATGAAAGTATTCAGGACCTCAAAGATGAGGAAGCGTGAACGTATTTGGGCCACTGTGACCGGTTTAGAGCCATATTACCAAGAGTCTGTAGCCATTGATTATTATTCCCAGGATGCCAGCCAAGCAACTTACATACTCCTGTACGGCTCAGACCAGAGGTCAAAGACTTCATAAACTAGCGGCATCTCTTGGTCTCATTATCCTTAAGGTTCTTCCAAACCAAACCCACTTAACACTACACGTTGAGGAAACCTGTGGTTCAGAATATGCAACGTATGTCCCAGTCAACTGCATCTATAAGTGCGAGGAATATCACTGACCAACTTGCCTTCTCTGCTTAGTACTCGGCGCCTCATATCAACATGGCTAACAAGATGAGTTCAGCCCAAGCGAGCAATACTACAAAGGTACCTTTGATCAAAAGCCTGCAAATTCCATACATTATACTTCCTAATAGCCGTAAAACAAAAATGGAACTGTCATGCAGTATACTCTTCCCTTAACAGGTAGATGAATATTTCGTTGGCAATATAAGTGATGTCAGTTGGCGAATGCCAAACGAGCCTTTTGAGTCCGAGCTGACATATTGGATAATGCAATTCCTAAAGTTAGTGAAGTGGTCGAAGCATTTTACTAACTCACTCCTTTGTTAAAAAAGAACCTGATGCAAACCAGTCCTGAAGCATTATTTCACACTTGACGAATGCGAAACATGCTAAACGTGCCCAAGTTTTCGCTCAAGTTCAGAAGATGGCGTCTTGACGACACCTTCGAATGACAAGGCTATGCCGTTTGTACACTTCAAGTCACTCACTTATCCTTTGGGGAGCCAGTGAATCCCTGAGAAGTCAGAAATATTTTTAGTTATATCTATCAGCATATCCATGAGCCGAACAAGAATGGTGACAAGTAGACCCTTATGGGGTACACCACTAACAATCGCTGACAATCTTAAGAAAAGAAAGCAAAACAAATAACGAAATGCGACATACTGATGAGGTTGAAGATATTGATTTGAAGTCTCTGAATAACCGAGGTCGAATATGAAGAATACCACCACGTCCCATACTACAGATTTCGTTTGCAACACAGATACCAACCTAGCAGTCTACATTTTCCTACTTAGAGTAAGTTTCACACTTTATTATATCAGCAGAAAAGGGAGACAGACAGACAGACAAAACCAATGTAGAACCTCGCACACAAGTGCATTGGCTAAAGTTGCTACAACTCACAGCAGTTTACCAAGAATAGGTGGATAGAAAAAGTGATATTATCGCAGAAAAGCTTCTATGAAAGAACAAACAATGTGAAGATAACGGTTAATGCGAATACCCAAGCTTTAGAAGACATTACAGTCAACACATCTGTACCATTATCACCGATTTTGTCATGTTACCACGACTCTAAAGCCAATGAGTCCTACTTTTTTGAGGACCCCAACCAGGCAGTTTACATATTCCCCATATGGCTTGGACCTACAGTCAAGGACTTCATCGACTAGTGCTACGTCTCAAACTGGCCACGCTGAACCCTCTTTCCAACTTAATACAACTCCTAGCATGGCACGTCGAGGTAGGCGGTTGATCGGCGCGCGTAACACACGTCCAAGTTAACTCATCCGATAAAGGTTCATAACCCCATTAATCGACTTCCTGTCTTGTCTAATACCCTTCGCCTACTGTCTATATTACTCACACGTGATTCCATGAAATACGAGCAATGGTACAAAGAAATCTGTGATCGAAACCCTGTAACCACTTCATGCTTTTACTTTCAACAGTCATGTGTCTCAGCCGTATAGTAGGACAGAATGGACTGCAGTGCAGTATACTCAGCCTTTGATAGACAGTCGGATACCTCGCATCACTGATGACGCAGGTTGACAAGTGCCAGGCGGACCTTCTGTATTCGAGCTGAGATTTTGTCAGCAACCAGCCCGTTCGGTGGGCCGGTGCAACTCCCCAAGTAGCATGTGAAGTGGTCGACACGTTCCATCGCTTCGCTCCGTATCCATAAACTGCGAGTACTTGCAGGAGACCAGTCCTGGAGCATCATCTTACATTTCACAGGTGCCAGAGGAACGCATGCCAAACATTTCTGCTCAACCCTTTCGATGGCGGAGTCTTAGGAGACCAAGAATGAGGTTTCAATGGCTTTGATCTTTGGTAATGGTGGCAGAATGAAAGGTTGGGGAAGGTGTAAGAGATTTAATATTAGTATCAAGAGGTGAAGGCAAAGTACACGAGAGAGTCGAGGAGGATATGTCATGTTTAATTTGGTCTTGTGTACTGCTGGAAGTGTGCGGGTGGTTGACACTTCCCAGCTCCCTACACCGTGTATGGATTTATCAACGTGACGATTCTGCGATCGATGGCCAATTCCTTTCAGTACCTTTTTAGGCAATCATATTTTACCGATGCCACAGGTGTTGTAAGTTTGCAAGAACAAATCAAACCACTGGTATGTGTGCACACATTTTCCCAGTCGATGACGGGTCATATCACCCGACTTCCCAAGTAACTGGAGTCAACACACTCAACTACATCAATCTCTACTGTCAGCCAAGGCATAGATAAAAACAAGTCATATAGAGAGAACTTGTTTCTCGGGTGAAAGATGCATCTTAAAAATTACCAATTTGTCACTGAAGGCATCCAGAAGACCCTGCATCTTACAAACATCACCTAACAGGACTATCATCTGCGGACTCAAAGTCTACTAAGGAGATTTCTAAAAGCATTTAGTCACTGCAAAATCAGATGAGGAAAGGAAGAAGACCATAAGCACGTCTATGAGAAAGTTAAGTTGAATGAGGAGTAAATATCCTATACAGAAATCATTTGATATTGATAACTAATCTGATACCCACAATAGGCTCTTACATCTATAAGTATTTGAATAGAGCCTTTAATAGGGCGACGTACTTAATTGGCATCCCATTTGGTGAGTGCGATAAAACCTCTTTATAGACAATAGTTTCAAAACATACTAGTGGAAAAAATTTGATACATGCATTTTCTTCCAAACCAAAACTAGTTTGATTATCTCACGTTTAATACCCATGAGCTCCAGTTATGCCTCAAGTGACATGGATCAAAACACACCCAGTAAACATGTGCATATCCATACGGGAGGGTGAGAGCTGATGTTACTACCTGGCTATCCAAACCTTGATAGGTGAAGCCGGGTTTCAACTAGTGAACAACCAAATAAAAATAATGTGCTTAAACCAACAGATCCTAGGATCTTGGACACGAAATTAAAAACCCGGTCGCAAACAGTAAAATTCTGCTGCTTTGCATAACACATTCGATAAGAGTTCATCGACCAACAACTATGCACTATTCTCGTTCATGCTGGATGCTGGGCAATTGAAGCGTGCCTAAAACTGCTTCTCCCCTCTCCCCCTGTCCTGCTAGGTTACTAAGATTCTATTCTTTCTGGCGACCGCCTTCTTCATACCAGTAAACTTAATGAGTCTAAATGATTACCGAGTATTACATGATGCTGATGCCTTCTCCATCTCTTTTGTCTTCGCTAACCACCACTGCTTGCGATCGTTTCAGAGACTTAGTCAATTTGCGTTCCAGCTGCTTTCGCCCTCTCATCGTGGTCACACCCAGCTGAGATGCCTTTTTGCATCATTCAGTTAGGATAAAGATGCGGAAATTCACTGGCTGTTGCTAACCTATGGATGTATGTTACCAAGTGTTTTTACCGCTATTTCTGCGGACAACAAATTTCATCAAGATGAGGACTTTAGTCGTGTTTAGATACACGCTTAGCTATGCCATACTAGGTGCACACTGCCTTCTTACCTTAAATGTGGGTTTACAAGGGTTTGAATGCTATGTTTCCAACGTCAATTAGGATGTAAACCTACATATTCTCGTAGCAATGCACGACGAGACAGAGCAAGCACTCTCTATAGGAAGTGGCAATCCCCCACCTGTCCTTCAAAACTAGCTCGTAGCTACATGATCTTTCTTTGCTTAAAGTTGACCTTCCGTCGGTGGACTCCAAGTTCGAGAATACCTCTCCCAATTTATGCCCTTGAAACTTTTGTTTTGTGGACTTAATACATTTATTACAAACATATTTGTAATGAGTATTTACAACCATAGTCTCGTAAATCTTGTTCAAATCCCGCAGATATTGGCCACAAATACGGTTAAAGCAAACTAAGTATTCTTATGTTTGGAATTAGTGCTGATCAGGAACAAATAACCGTTATAACGTATTTGTAGGAGACGACCGCTGTTGTTAGTCCTCTGACACAGAACCCTGGGGAGACCCCTAGGATGCCTATTTGAATGACTCAGCATTCTTACTTAAACGTTGAAGTTGCATGCTAGTATGACTTTATATGAACGTTTTGTTTTGTGTAGAGAAACGAACAAACTTCGGTTAAACATATCATTTGCATCCCAAAAACTGCAGTGAGTAGGCTTGCCGGAGAAAACTATGAGCAAGCATCGACAACTGTTTAGATTTCTTTCACTTTTCACAGGCCAATTCATCAAGACGATACGATAAAGTTCACGGAAGTCATTGTTAATTCGGACGATCGCAAAGTGGATGCTACAGATTCAGTAAATTAAACAGAAGAAGTCAGGAGAATAGAAACACTTATACTCTTCACGTATGAGCAATGGTAACAGGACAAACTGAAAAGACTGAAAGAGGTTTAATGTTGGTGACAGCAACACACGAAGTTTCTTGACGCCAAGGTGGTGAACGGAACTTATTTTGAGAGTCCTGATGATCTTTCTACTATTATTACTGTAGATGACCTCAATTTAAAAACTCTTGCAGTCATAATCTATTAAAGTTAGCCAGAAAAACTAGGTTATAACTTACGTGTCAACAAAACGCTCTTTTCCTTAAAGACCGCCTTCAGTCAAGCCGCAAACCTTCAATATCAAACATCGTTTAATGAGGTTGTTTAAATCAGTTGATTTTCACGTGCTGACTTCTAGGTCTCACAGAAACGTTCCAGGGCTTTCGTGGATTACGATGCAGCAGACCTGCCTACTCTCCTGACATATCCTATAAGTGATTGGGCATTGATTGAATATGTAGTATTTGTATGGTTTGTCCAAGGACAGTAGTGGAGATGCGTTCCTCAAATGTATTTTTAGGATTTGTCCTGGTGCGAACTTGACAGACGCAAAGACCAATCACTAATTATTCGAACTTGTTATATACCCACGAATACGAGACCAAGGAAGAACACGATAGCGTAGTCGGATGGAATAGTATATTTGGATGGTTATGCCAAAATACCGATGCGTTCCAACTAACTGGCTAGAGAGTCGAATACGAGCAATGCAACGTAACACGACAGCGTGCCAAATGGCGAGGATGCTTGACCGGATGCCTTCAGCTTAGCGAGTCCAGTTAAACTATCAAGGTCAGCATCAATGTCGAAGTCGTCAAACCCTAGGCTATTGATTTTGGGGAAGTGTATGACGCTACAGATCACTCCCCCCCTAGTGGGTTCGTGAGGACCCTAAGACGATACCAGCCGGAAGTAAAAACCCAGTGGTTTCTCCACTGGTAAAACTCTTCCGATGGGCTCACTGCGTGAGGTGGCCCCTGGTTGTCTGAACCTTATTCTAGGGTGTCGTGGCGATTAAATAAATAAAATACAATAAATGAAATTGTACGTCGGTCGCGGTCATCTGTTCCTTTCGACGTTCCGTCCAGTGCTCGTTGCACCTGGAATATAAATAAAAGTCTTTAATACCACGAAAACGTTGCGTAAAAATGGGAATTATTTATATATAAACGTGTCGAAAAAAAAAATTTACGCTTATCTTCGCCGTTTTTTTAGTTTTTATTACATGGTAAATAAAAATTGATATAAAAAGGCAAAGTGTACGAGGGTTTGTGCGCCGGTAAATAAGAAAAATAGTGCCTCGAAAAAAAAAAATGGTTGGCACACACACAGCTAAGTTGAATATGACTTCAGGTACTCTGGGAACCTGACGGTTCGACCTGATCGTGTTTTTTGTTGCGCCGCTGGTTGTTGCAGCTGTGCATTACCAGGCACATCGTCGAGAATTTCGATAATTGAGTCATCCGTCGGTCGGATGTAGCGAGCTGAAACGTCACTTACAATGGGGTTGCCTTCGAAATAAGCTGGTTTCAAACGGTCGATACTGACAGTATCTTCACGTCCGTCTCGCTCAATTACATAGAATTTCTCATGTCGCTTAATCACTTTGAACGGCCCGTCGTAGGGTGGTTCAAGTGGTCGACGAACAGCGTCGTGGCGAACAAACACGTGTGATGTCTTCTGTAAACTGGGGTGGACGAAAACATCAGTCGTTTGCGGTCTAATCGGAGAAGGCCTAACTGAACGCATTGCGTTTGTAAGCCTAGTCACGTAAGATGCCCTGTCGGAAACATGTTTGAAAGTTGAAGGGGAAACAAACTCACCTGGTAGGCGAAGAGTGGTCCCATAGACGAGTTCTGCAGGAGTGCATCCAGCATCAACTTTCAACGCGTTACGAATACCTAGTAGGACTAGAGGCAGAGCCTCGGTCCACTGAGGTATGTTTGTAGCTGAAAGGGAAGCTTTCAGCTGTCGATGGAAACGCTCTACCATGCCATTTGCTTGTGGATGGTAGGCTGTCGTTCGGAACCGAGTGCAACCTAAAAGTGCCGTTAGAGCGTGAAATAGTCCGCACTCAAATTGGCGCCCACGGTCGGTTGTGACGTAGGATGGACATCCGAAGTTCGCGATCCATCTTTCGACGAAAACACGAGCAACTGTTTCGGCAGTAATATCTTTAATGGGTACTGCTTCCGGCCATCGTGTGAAACGATCAACACAGGTGAAAAGGTAGGTACATCCATTAGATTCTGGTAGGGGTCCTACAATATCTATATGGACGTGGTCGAAACGCATGTCTGGGGCTAGAAATGAGCCTAAAGGGCTTTTCGTGTGTCGCGTGACTTTACACTTTTGACAAGCTAAGCACGACTGGGCCCACTCCTTAACGTCTTTGTTCATCCCAGGCCAGCAGAAACGTTGTGCGATAAGCCTAATGGTGGCTCGTACACCTGGATGAGAGAGTTTGTGCAACGTATTGAAGACGTTGCGTCGACAACTCTTCGGAACTATTGGGCGTGGTTGACTAGCAGAGACATCGCACAAAATTGCATCCTTGTCTGATCCAACAGGACAAAGTCGCAGTTTGAGAGTTGTGGACGACAACTCATGATGCAGCTCAAGGTCTTCCTTTTGACGCCGAGCTAGTTCAACGAGATCAATACCCTCGATATAGTTTATCGAAGCTATTCGAGATAGTGCGTCGGCTGCGGAGTTGTTTGCTCCAGAAATGTGGCGGATGTCTGACGTGAACTGGGAAATGTAATCCAGCTGTCGCGACTCACGAGGGGAGTATTTGTCAGACGCCGAGCTGAGGGAAAAGGTTAACGGTTTGTGGTCTGTGAAAATAATGAAATCACGACCTTCCACAGAATGTCGAAAATGGCGTACAGAACAGTACATGGCTAGGAGTTCCCTACCAAATGTACTGTATCTTGTTTCCGCGTCTTGCAGCCGCCTCGAGAAAAAGGCTAACGGTTGCCACTGGTTGTCAGTCAACTGTTGCAAAACTGCTCCAATTGCTGAATCAGATGCATCAACAGCAATACTCAGAGGAGCATTGGGGTCATGATGCATAAGCATGGTTGCGTTCGAAATGGCTTCCTTGACTTTAGAGAAAGCAAGTCTAGCCGCGTTGTCCAGAGACACGAACTTCGCAGTTCCTCGAAGTAGATCTGTGAGTGGTCTCATGACAGAGGCACAGTTAGGGATAAACCTTCGGTAATAACTTACCAGGCCATTGAAAGTGCGGAGATGTTTCACAGTGGTCGGCTCTGGATAGTTTGTGATAGCCGCCACTTTATCTCTCAATGGGCGTATACCTTTGTTGTCAATGGTATGCCCAAGGAAGCTGAGTGATTCAACTCCTATTTCACACTTCTGTAAGTTAACTGTGATGCCATGTTTTTTGAGTCTTTCGAATGCGAGGTCCAAATGTTTAAGGTGTGTTTCCTTATCTGGACTCGCAATTAGACAGTCATCGATGTAGACATGAACAAAATTCAGACCACGGAAGACGTCGTCCATGCGTTGGAATGTTTGTGCTGCATTCCGAAGACCAAAAGGCATGCGCAGGAATTCAAACAGGCCAAAAGGAGTAATAATGGCTGTTTTCGCGATATCTTCTGCTGCCATAGGTATCTGGTTGTACGCTTTGACCAAGTCGATTTTGGAGAAAATGTTCATGCCGCATAAGGTTGCGGTCAAGTCGTAAACGTGAGGTATAGGGTAGCAGTCCGGAGTTGTTTTGGCGTTAAGCCTTCGGTAATCACCGGTCGGACGCCAGTCGTTGCTATCCTTTTTGGGCACCATGTGCAATGGCGATGCCCAAGGACTGTTCGACGGTCTGATAATGCCCAGTTCCAGCATATGGTCGAATTCATTTTTCGCCGTTTGCAGCTTATCGGGGGCTAAACGGCGAGCTTTGGATGCCACAGGTGGACCTGTGGTTGTGACGTGATGCATAACATTGCTGGTTATGCACGGAAGAGTGTGTTTCGGTTGTTGTAACTCTGGATATTTCTCCAGAACTGCCTGGTAGGACGCGTCGCCTGATTGTTTAGTCCTAACGATGGCTAAACTCGGACCTACATAGGTGGTGCCGCCAATAGATAACTTTGTGTTGTTATCTATCAGTCGTCGACGGCGAGCATCTACGAGTAGATCGTAATGGTTCAGCAAATCTATGCCAATGATGGGCATAGAGACGTCAGCAAGGAGGAAGATCCAGTGAATAGGTTTGCGTAAACCTAAGTTGAGGTAGGCATACCGTCTCCCGAATGTCGCGATTGCCTTGCCGTTGGCTGCTTGAAGATTGAAGGATGGGTCAAGATGACGCTCCTTTGTCGTTGCTGGAAGAACGCTAACTTCTGCGCCGGTGTCGACGAGGTAGCGGACTTTCGTTTTAATGTCGGTGACGTAGAGCAAACGGCTTTTTCCGCCGGCTACGGTTGCCGTGAGCACGTGCCGGCGTGACCGTTTCCCGAGTTTGGGTCCTTCTTAAAACGGCATGGTTTACGACATTTTCTGGCTTCATCCCCGTAAGTGTTATGAAACCAGCACCATTCAGGGTTTTCCACCCTGTTGGGTTTCGTTTTAGGGCTACCACACGACTTGCTGCGATGCGCCAAGGTGCGTTTCTGTGAAGTGCTACGTGATCTAGGACTTCGAGATCGTAGCAACCGTTTCACAGAGTTGCACAACTTGGTCACCTCCGAATCCTGGCGCTCTGTTTTGTCGCAGATAGAATATACGTTGGAGACGGGTCTGCTGGATATCTCCAGTATTTTATCTGCTGAGGCTGCCAGGTCGTCGAGTGGGACTGACTGGAGTGTCACCAACACGGTTTGCACCGGTTGTGGTAGTTTCGAGAGAAATAGTTCTCGGAAGAAACCATCGTCAAATGTTCGTGCACCGATTACTTCTCGCATGCGTGCGAGGACTTCAGTAGCTGAGTGGCTGCCTAGCTCGATGTTACGAAGCAATTCGTCTAGACGTTGGCGATCTGTGAGATCGCTTTTCTTCAAGAGTGCGGCCTTTAGAAGTGCATAAGGGTCACTTACTTCAGGATTAAACATGTTTGCTGTAACATACCTGTTTAATTCTCGCGGTAGTGAACGTATGACAGCAAGAAATCGAGAATGAGGATCTGAGACACCCTGTTCTCGAAAATCGGCCTCGGCATACAGAAACCATGTTTCTGCATTGTCTGGCCAATATGGCACGAGTTGGATCGTGTTCGAAGTCGGCTTAATACGAATAAGCTTGGGAGTGTGGTCGGACATGA